TATTTTTAACGATTTCAATTGAAAGTTATGGCATAATATGCAAATTCGGTGATTTATTTTTTAATTGGCAGACAAAAGCAGAAATATAGTGTATCTTTTCAAATTTAAAAATCATTTATGAAAATTTCTAAATTACACATCGCATGAAATGAATAAAAACTTTGATAATTTTAATTTATCGACTTTTTTTTACCATCACTGACCATGACCCGCAGGCTAATAAGTCTGAAGACTCGGATGTAATTTCGTCTTAGTTTTACAGAAAGCTTATAACAAAATAAATATTTGCTATTATCTATTGGGCACTAGCGGATCCAGGATTTAATTTTGGGAGGGCTTCAGCCCGAAAGCTTTTTTTTCAAAAACATAACGATAATTACTTTGGAAAAAAAGAAAGAAACTATCTACCTATATGAAATGGTGTTTAAGTGATCCCTAGTCCTTTTAAATGTAATTACACGAACAATAATACTTTAAGAAATATTTTTTTATAAAAAAACATGGTTATATTTTACCATTTTGGGGGAGGACTTCAGCAACAAAGCCCTCTGCCCCTGTAGATCCGCCCGTGCTATTGGGTGTTATTGTTAACTAACGAACAGGTCTCTTCTCTGTTTATGAAAAAAATTTCAAAATGCATCGGCAACGGGAACGATTTAGTAAGTGTTTCAATTAAAAAAAAAAAAAACTATTATTTCTGTTTCCCATAAAACTGATATAAATATCAGTACTATAAAAATATACAAATTAATTGAATAAACATTTTATCTATTGCATATCATTTCAAAGAGTAATTATAATATTAGAACTTTTAGTAACATTTAAGTTACATAGCAAAATTTTAAGATAGTTAAAAGATAAATAATAGAAATAAATTAAATCATACTCTACCATAATCAAAAACAGTACGCATGTTTCTTCTCACATTTTCCATCTATCTACTGAGAATTTATAGACCATTTTATGATTAATCTATAAAAAATAAAAACTATATAAAATAACCATTGTCCATCGTGGCTCATTTCGTAAAACTTAGTAGTTAATATTCAAGGTGTTGGGTATGTGGGTACAAGGTACTATGTTATCAAGTTGGCCATTTTTTCCTATTCCCATCATTGTACTCTCTGTTGCCAAACTCGTTTCTTTTGTTTTAATTCCTCACTCTCTAATTCTATCTCTTTCAGTAATTTTATTTTTGTTAGTGTTAGTTGAATTACTCAGAAAAATTGTTATGGGCTTTTGACCATCCTAATCTTTAATTTTTCTGATCTTCATAATTAAATATATTGAGTATATAATGTTGTTTGTATGTATTGAGTAAAAATTGTTGTTTATTTAACTTGGTATTGTATGTTCCCTTTCCCATTGTAATAGAATCTTTATATAAATTTTAAAAATCATTTTCAGATAAATTAAACAATGTATCATTTAAATTTAATCATTCGAAATATTATTTGAAACGTAACTTTCAATCAGAAAAGTGAAATTTTTGACATAGAAAAAATATATTCAAAATTGGTCCTGTTGTCATCAGTTTTTATTATTACAAATATTATTTATTTTATAGTGAAAATTGAGTTCATTAAAATGACGGACACATTTCAGAAATGTAGTGACTCTTCTGGGAAAAGTGAGCATCACCATAGAAACTCTATAGCTATTTTAAATATTTATTTTGTATTTCCTTTCTCTCAGGTATAAAGTGTACCTATATAATTTGAATTTGTATGTCTAATTATAGGATAAAGGCATCTATTATTGCCATATTATCGATTATTCAAGTTGTAACTAAAATTTGATAAAATCGTTTAGACTCATGTAGGATTTCAAACTTAGCGCCCTTTCAAAGGTTGATTAATGTGCCTTTAAAAGGGCGCCAAATTTGAAATCCTGTATGAACATAAACACTCATTTTTATTACATTTAAATTACAAGTATCAATAATAGGTTCCTTTATCATAAATAAGCGAAACTTGTAATAAGTTTATAAAATAAATATTATTGTTGTAGAGTTTATTTATAGACATTGTCATACAATATTTTTCTCCAAAATTGTATAAAAGGAAAAAAAAAAAGTAAACCTTTAAACTATCATAAAAACAATAATTTAAAACAATCAAATGTTTAAAACTTCAATTAAGATTAATGCGAACATATTCTTTTTATGACATATTTAAAATACTATAGACATTCACAAAAGCTTTTATTTTTTAAAAAGCGTTTTCTATATTAATCTAAAAATGAGGAAACGAATGAGAATGGTTTTCTCACCTTGGTGAAAATTAATTTAATTGTTAATAAAACTGAAAAATACCATCATGATATAAAGTTTTAAATTTTGATTCAATCACCATTTATTACTTAGATAATCGGTTTATACAATTGATTATTGTACGAAAATAATATGGCTGTCGTCTTATCTCGTGTATTTGATGGAATCTTCAAATAATAAGGGAACATCATCCTTGCGGGAATTCAAAAAATCAAAAGTTAACGAGCGCTAAAATATTCAAGAATGAAAGTGGAAAGTCTTTCGCTTGGAAGCAACTAGAGCATCAAGCGGACAAAGCTTACTGTATTGTTTGTAGCCAATTCGTTGAAAGATGTTCAACACGACCGAATGAAAGTTGGCAACAATGAAAATAGATATAGTTTGATAGAGACATTATTTTGTTTATCGAGTTAACAGATTTCCTAGTTTTATATTCTGTTAAAATGATTTCTTAACATCGTGCATTGTCTTCCTGTCCAGTTAAACGTATTGTACTTTCGAATAGTTCATAACGATCGTTATCGCTAGCGGATCCAGGGGAAGGGGAGAGGTGCAGTCCGAAATCTTTTTTTTTTTTTTTTAATATAACAATAATTGCTTTAAAAGAAAATTAAAAAAACTACCTTAACGAAATGGTGTTATGCGATTCTTGAAGTCCTATGAAATGTAATTACACGAACAATAATACTGTTACAGAAATTTTTAAAATATTTTTTCATAATACATGGTAATATTTTACTGTTTTGGGGGAAAGTGAGAGAGAGAGAGGCTTCAATCCGAAAGCTCCCCTCCTCTCCCTCCATCTGCCTCCGATCGTTATAATAGTTCATAACGACTTTGGAATATAAAATATATTATTTGCTTAAAGAAACTCACGAAATTGGAATTATTTTTTTCAACGAAATAAATTTCATATAATTTACTCTAATTTAATAAAATTTATAATGTAAATGTTTTTTATCCGTAGTTTGATCCGGATTTCAAAGATTGTGAAAACTAAATAAAAAATGAACCCGATATATCGATTTTTTATTTTATTTTACTCATTCGATGCAATGCCCTCGTAACGAGAAATTCACGATTTCAGTTCGTAAATTTTCGGGACATGCAATTGAACCTTAAATTACTGTATTAGTTTTTCTGAAACAGTAATAGAAATAAAAACGATACAAATTATTTGTAATAAATTACACGGTGGTTTATTATGTCTAAGTAATTATATATCAAATGTGTGTGGCTGGTCTCAATACTTTCCTTGTAACTTCGGAATAACAAAAAAAAAAATATTATATAAAAATATTAATAAGTATTGGCCGGCTTTTTTTTTTCTTTCGATTCAAAAATTAAAATAAAGGAGATCAGTTTTGCATCAGAACATCTGCACCAAATAGTCTGACTTCGATATGTTTTTTAAAATGGGAATTTCGTTGTGTTTAAATTTTTAATTATTTGAACTTAAAATTGAGCATTCATCATAATTTTTCCAACTTCTTTCCCGGGAAGTACGTTATAAACATAAATTTTAAGGGCTTCTAGGAGAAGATTTTAGGAAAATTTCGTTAAAATTATGACAGACGTTCTGGCGCTGCAGTCTATAGAAACATATATCTTTCGGTCGCCATTTTGAAACGAAACGGCGGATAGTAATGTCGAGTTTCGAGAATCATCTTCAGGTGATCACTAACTCTGTCATAATAGTTAAAAACAAATAGCCGAGTTGTTTGCGGGATGAAGCCCGTACCGAGGATGAACTTTTTTTATTCGCTTTTCGGATTCTATGTATTTAAGTTATGGGAGATTAACTTCATTTTAATGTTTTGTTCGTTTACACAGGTTTATCATTTGAGATAATATACAAATAATGTGACGACTTGCCTTGAAAATTCATGAACCGAATTTTTGAATGACACAATACTTTTAGTGTTTAAGCTTCTGAGCTGAATTTTTGAATAATATTCTACTTGTTAACAGTTCACAACATGGCAATCGCTCCTTATTTACTAAAAAATTGCGACTTGCCTGTTTAGTTAAGACGTCGTTGAAGCGAAAAAATATTTTATTTACGATTTCTATCATTAATCACGTTTTGATACATTTACGATTTCGTTAGGTTTAATTACCTGTCATTTAAATCATTTTATTTTTTATAACCTCTGATTTTAAATATCCAGATTTACTGAAGTGACTGAAAATGGTATATATGCCACTCAAAACCGTTGCGTTAAAATTATGAAATTAGTTTTGTTAATAATTATATGAAAAAAAAAAGTTTTCCATTTGCCTAGGTGTTCTTTTAAATTATTTCTTTTCAATTTTTAAAATAGATTTTATTTTTCTTCAGAAATTTCCGCTTAATTAAAGTTATGTTCGCAAAATCAAGCTTTCATTAGAACAAAAAAAAAAAAAAATATATATATATATATATATAAAGCATGTTTACCGAAATATTGAAATACCTGCATATATCCAAAAAAGAAGTAAATTGATGTTCATTGTGCCTGAATGTTAGGATTTGGAAAGATATTTGGACTACTGCTAAAAAGTTAGTCCGACAACTAAATTTGTAAGTTCAGAAATCGTTTGCCAAATAACATTATTTATCGTAATAATTTAAGTATACATATATATATATATATATATATATATATATATATATATATATATATATATATATATAATTTAAATTTATCCATGATAATAAATATTTAAATTTAAACTTTCTCCACAGAGAAAACAACGCCGTTATGGGATTCGGCATCCTATCATTGGTGTTCCTAATAGCCGGAGCAGAAGCCATTACGAACTATCAGGGCATAGACTTGTCAGGTAACTGTTCGAATTTATTATTAATATATTTATTGAATTATTATAATTAATATATTTACAATATTTATACTTGAATGAAAAATGCGTCATTTAATGAGCCATTATAAATAGAACATTATAACATTTTTGAATAGTTAGCTATATCCAAGAATATTTAGGTAATTAATTATTATGAACTTCATATAATTAAGGCTTGTGTTGGATTTAGCTAATAATGACAACGAAGGATCGTATTTAGCTCTAGTTCTGTTCAAGGACCCAGCTAAAAAGTTGATAGAGGAAGGACATCTTAATAAGACTTTTTGTCCAATAAAAAAATACAGAAAGGATCAACGCTGAAATGCGCCATGAAGCGGTCGCTTCTGGCCTTCAGCCCGGCGTTGACAGAATTCGGGAAGTGGCTGGCGGTATTCCTGGACAACATTGGACAAGGAAGTTGAACTTATATCTTGAGGAATTTTATTTTATTTGTTTGTTTATTATTAGTTTTTCTTTCATAAAAAATAAATCCTCACTTCGCATTTAATTCTACATTAAATCTCACGTTGTCAATATTTATTCTTGGTGAAATCAGAGTTTTTTTTTCTGTCGAGGTCACAGAAAAACAGGACATTTTTCAGTTTGTTAATCTCATTTGATTAAATTTCACAAATATCGTTTTATTGCACGTTAATCTATAATCTATCTACCAAGATTTTTCTGATCATTAATTTATTATTCATTAATTATTTTGTCATCTTCGTTTATAAACACTATAAATTTATTCTTACGTTTTTATGATTTATAATACACCTCTTCCATTGATAACCCTGCGCTACTCTCTCAACCGCATCACTTTTACTAAAGCCATCGGAGATTGGTCGAGAGCACTTTAGTTAGTAACTAATTAAATAGACAAAGTTTGCCCTCCTCCAGATTGAAAACGCCCCAATTCAAAGAATTTTCGTAAATAAATAGTTATAGGTTACGTTGATATGAAGCTATTTACGAAGTTTCAGGCGGATGTTAATAATTTGATAAAAAGATGTCTGTACCACGGACTATATTTTTGTCACTACTTTTTGAAATTCATGGAATGCCTAATTTTCACCATAACCATTTGCTTTACTTATGGGAATATATTCTACATGCATATTCTGTTTATTCTTCTCGATTTTTTTTTTCAAATAGCCATTCGTTCAATTAATGTGTCTTGGCTATTTCACGACCGAAGGTTATATTAGAAGACACTAGCGGATCCAGGATTTAATTTTGGGAAAGGGGGAGGGCTTAAGCCCGAAGGATTTTTTTTTTCATACATATAACGATAATTAATTTGATGGGTGATAAATAGTCAGGACGCAATCATTATACAATTTATTTTTTATTTGTGCCATCTATTTATTTATGCTTAATTTTATTTATGCCATTTATTGATTTATTGCCATTTATTAATTTTATTTATGCCATTAATTTATTTATGCTCCCCTTGTCCGACGTTTCAGGTTTCTGACCCATCTTCGAGGGCAATTTATCTTGTTTATATATATTATTTACTCTATTATGTTATGTATGATAAAGATTTTGTCACTTGGTTAAAATTATATTTAAAAGTAAAATTTGGATAAATTTGAAATAAAGTTATTATTTATCGAGGCTGAAAAGGCCTTTTTCTACTAATAGGTATCATAGTATGTTTCCCGAGATCATCGTTTATGTTGTTTTAAAATATTTAAAACAAATATTCTATGAACAAAATATTTTTTAACATTATTACGACAACTTATCAATGGTTATTTATATCAAGTATTTTATGTTAAATAATAAATGTTTCGCGTAAAATAATTATTTAATGCTATATAAGTATATTACTTAAAATAAATATTGTAAAAATATTAGATACCAATTGATTGTTTAAAATCCAAGTCTCAAAGTTTTTATTATAAACATTACATAGTTCAGATATTGTATAATTGACTACCTATTCCATAACGGTATATTATAATACAATGTAAATATATAAAGTTACATCTATGTAATAATAAAAAATATTTTTTATCTTTTAAAACTTAGCTATTAAACTCGTGATATGTTTATATTTTGGTTAGCGTAGCCAATTAGATGTTATTTAGTGAAACATTGGGTCGATAGTAACTCGAATACACTGGTAAAAAAAATAAAATAAACAAAACGTAATAGTAGTCACTCTAAATTCAGCGTTCCCACGTGTTGTTGTTTTTAAATATATTTTAAGACTTCAACCACCAGCATAGAACGTTTGAGAAAAGAAAATAGTTTATCAATTTCATTCGTATTGTCCTGTAAAATGAAGTGTAGATCGTTTGTCAAGTCACAAGAGAGTCTAAATGTTTCGTAAGCTCTGCATTCTGTTAAAATGTGTTTCACTGTCAGAGGAGTCTCACAAGTTTGGCATGTTGGCGAAGAATCACGGGCCATCAGGTATCCATGGGTAAGGCGTGTAGTAAGAATTACTTCCTCTCTTCGGTTATTCCTATTTAACGATGCCCAAGAGGAAACGTCACCCTTAACCTCCCTCAATTTATTTTCGGTTACATTCGACCATATCTGTTTCCATTTTGTCTTCATTTTCAGTTTGATGACAGTTATAAAATCCTCTACAGGTACTCCCCGATAAGTTATTCCACCAGTAATGGCTTTTTAGTAGCTCGGTTCCCACGTGCTAAATCCTCAATAACTTCCAGTATGGCAGGTTGGGGCAAGATCTGAAAACTGTTTTTAGAAATTCAAACCTTTTTTAACAATAGGATACATCTAGTTTTTAGGGCAATTTTGGGCGATTTGCTAAATGGACCAAAATTGCTTGCAATTGTTTGGAAAGTCGTAACAACTACCAATGGTTTTGAAGAGCCGATGTTTCAGCTATCTTAGGATCACCAGAAGTACTGAATTCTGTCCAACACTTACCATTAGATTTGAACAAAAATCGCCGGCAAACCAGCTCTAAATATAAAAAAGATGGTTTTCATTCCTTCTCCTATTACCTCATATCAGAGTATTATTAATGCGATAATTAAGTTACAAATTGTTGGGCATGAAGGGGAAACTATGTTAATTTGTCACTTGTGCAGTTCAACTTCCAAATTTTAACTTTTGTTTTTTCTCTCAATGTCCTGAAAAATTATTGAATTTTAAGGCGGTATGTTTGCATTACATTACCGTTAAATGAAGATATCATGTTAATTGTTATTATTAGCTAACAGATCAACACTCGCGGTTAAGACCCCTTCTGCATCGATTGTACAGAGTCGATAAGGACGAACATGCCTGGCCAAGATTCGCGGTACGCTTGAGTCTGGATCAAGCTACAGTGATCGAGCCGGACCGTGGCGCTCAGGTGGAGCGGATCGAAACCAGCCGGCGAGGGTCCAGCCCCGGTCATCATGGACGACGAGTTGTTGATGGAGTTAGTTCGCGAAAAAAGTGAACTGTACGATTTGGCACACCCCAGGTACTGCGATACTCCTCACAAAACTAAACTATGGAAAGAATTCGGTCGAAAACTCCATCAAGGTAAGTTATAAATTTAATTTGATTTATCAATTATACATATGAACGTATATTTCATATTAAATGCAACTGTATTTCCACAATACTGATTCTATTATGGAATCAGGTTAAAAATAATGTTATATTACTGATTTCTGTCTGGTTTGGTATTACTAAATTGCTTTATATCAAGTTCAAAATATAGGACAAAAAATAATAGGTTAATGAATTATTGTCATTGGAGATTATATTAGATTATACTATTTATTATCTAACACACGTTTATGAGTAAATTAAATATATCATCGATGGTAATAATATATTACTGTGATAAAAATATAAATAATCATTTAATTATTTCTGCTCTCTCTCAATTTGATTTTTTAAATTGTTATTAGCTTTAAATTTTGTAATTTTATCTCAACGTTTCCTTATCTTGACGTCAATAAAGGAGTAATTCTACTTATCTTGCAATACTGCTCCTAACAGAAGTGCCCATTTCCTCCTCCCTCCCCCTACTTCTCCCAAGATATTTTATTGCTCTCATCTTCTTAAAAGTGCAAGCTCAAGTAGAATTTCAAAATCAATAAGTCATGTACAAAGATAATTTCAGTGGTCTGTTCTTTGCTTTGCTCTTGTTCACTGGTTTGATAATTTTCATTTCGAAAATTCATAACCCTGCCGGAATGTGCTCCCCTCAAAAAGTTTGATGGCGCACCTTGCGCCATCAAACCCCCTTCTGAGCACCCCTGGCTCCCAAAGCTTTAAGTTCAGTTTAGCTTCCCCTGTTATCCGAATATTATTCATTAATAATAGCATTAGTGTTATTAAAATGCAATTATTCTAATCGAATATTATATTCTTATAAGGCTGATCATTATCATTATATAGATATATTTTTCATATATCACGTTGTTTTTCTATTTGTTGCACATTTTTAACTTTCTTTGACTTGTATATAACTTTATGGGACCATCTTTAATGCGGGTGACGAATCTGAACTGTTTGATCTTCTAAATTATTATTTCCCAATAATGAAATTCAGCTATTGCGTTATTAATTAGCAAACATATCAACGGTTTACGTAAATCATAAGACAAAAAAGTCTCAAATTTTCCACGATTGCGTCTTAAAGTATGCTATAATATTTTTTAGTCAATGTTTTAAGGTGTACAGAAATAAATGAATTACAGATTATTAATAAGCATGATATAATTAATCATATCATTTGTTATGATTGAATATTTGGTTTTTTTTTTTTAGATCCTGGAAAATGTAAACAACGTTGGGAATCTCTCCGTTCTCAGTTCAGAAAACATGTGCGAAACCAAAAATCAAAAACTCGTGATTCATGTGCCACGCCTACAAAATGGAGATACGGCGAGAACCTGCAATTTCTCCTTCCTTACATGAAGGAAAGGATGAGAATTTCTTCCATTGATGGGTCAGATGACATAGAGGAAGAAGCTGAGGTTTCACAAGAATCGAACGAGCCAATACCTCAGGTCAAACTTGAGCCACAAAAGCGTATAGGTGAGTTGCCATCCATAAAACAAGAACCTAAAGTCCGGAAAACCCTTCAATATGAGACAGCCAAAAGGAAATTCCCTGCGGGAACTGCGAGTTTTGTTCCCATAAAGAGTATATTAAGTGAAAGGAGAAAAGACTACGAAACCGACGAGTATGATCTGTTCTTTGATGCGATGAAAAAAACCATCAAAAAGTTTTCTGCTGCAGATAAGTTGTTGGTAAAGCGACAATTATTTAACATGGTTGCTGAAATAGAGGAGAAATATGTAAACGACCGGCTGCCAGTATTCCAGACCCATTACCAGCAGATGTACCTTGCAAATACCCAATTCGGACGTCATATATATGATCCATCGCAAGGCTCTCATCTGCGGGCCTCCTATATTTACGAAGACACCAGCGAGTCTCAGCCATCTTCTCCTGCTAGCGTTCATTCTGGCAGTGATCCAAACCTTCATGTTTGATTAGATATCTATTAAATTCTTTGAGCACACATTTAATTGTTCTAAATTTACTGTGATTTTTAAAAACAAAACATATTTTTTGTGGTACCTATGTTAATAAACATTAATGTATAAATTAATTCTATATATGTAGCTCATTTTATATCCTAGTCCTTACATGTACTCCAGGTTTGGTACTATAATCTCTATGGTGTTTTATTATATGTGCGGTATTTTAATAAAATATATCCATGGCAATGATGAAATACAAGGTATGTCAAGTCATTTAAAAAATACTAATTAATTTATAACTATTCTATTCAGTCGGCGCGACATCTCGATATCTAGTCTTGGCCTCCTGTACCAGCCTCCACCAATTGTTCCTATCCTGTGCAGCCGCCATCCAGCTCCTCACTCCCAACGTGGACCTGGCATCACCAGCCACATCGTCACTGTACCGAAGCCAAGGTCTTCCTCTACGCCTTGTTCAGTGCATTACTTCTGCCATGATCTTTTTCAGAAAGTGATTTTCAGCCATTCGAGCGACGTTCCCAGCCCATCTCAAGGAGCACGGCTCCTAAAATATGGACTGAAGCCATAATAACAACGATTGGCACATAGCACTCTTCGCTTAATTTCAGAATCTACAACATTATCATGAGTTATGAGGGATCCGAGATAAATTAATTCCGACACTTTTTCAATTGATAATCCTTTCGCTCGGTCTGGGATTTTCCCCAGTGACCATATATTTGGTTTTTGCAGCGTTCACTTTAAAGTCCATTTTTCTTGCTGCTTCCACTAGTTTCAAGAATCCATCGGAGACTGCCTGGAAAGAGCGTCCAGCAATGTCGACATCATCTGGATAAACAAGAAGTTGCACTATCCGGCTGAATACTGTTCCGCCCACTTGAATACCAGAATCTCTAATGGACTTCTCTAAAGCTAAATCAAAGAGAAGACATGCCAGTGCTTCTTACTGCCTTAGTCCTTTTCCAGAAGTGAATTCTGCCGATCTTGCTCCTCCAACTTGCACCATACATCTCACTTCTCTCATGGTGAGAGATATATCATTATACCATTGCACCATTGTAATAAGATTTTCAGGGATTGCGAGCTCTCTCATTGCCTCATAAAGCTGTTCCCTATGCTCACTATCATACGAGGGATTAGCAAAAGTGTCACTAGATAGACTAGACTCTCTTATCATAAGCTAGTATTTTTATGGTACTTTTCCCTGAAAACGGAACAAGAGATAAAAACCAAAACCGAAGAATCTAATCGATTTTGATCAAAGCACGATACACGAGTAGAAAAGGTCCACCAATCTGGTCGAAACCAAAAATCTACGTAGAATTTAACTACGTAATAATTTCATTGATTTAATTATTTGTAATTATTCAAACAATTTTTCCTTTTGAACATTCTGCCACATTTAAAGTAAACAATGTAAAATACGGCGTCGATTTGTTTTCAGAGGACGGAGACTGCTCTCCTCGACTGGAGGCCGCCCTGGAGTCTAGGTCAACTGGAAGCGGAGCTCTGGAACTGGCCGGCTTCGCCCTCCATTCTCCGCTGCGATCTGCCCCTCTGGACATGTACGTCACGGATATGAGAGTCAAGGCCGCCGACAGGCTCCCTAGAGTGGAGAAGTGCAGGTTCGACAGAGGAACTTTGGCGTTGCAAGCCAAGTAAGCATTGTACTTCTATATTCACTTACTTGTCCTAATTATGTACATATTTGAGCTTGGTATTCTTTCAGGCGTCATTCTTTTAACATGCCCAAACTAGCATAATCTTTTCTTCTCAATATTTGCTATAATGTTTTTCCACCTCCATCAGCTCCAGAATTCCTCCATTTTTAATTCTTTCTCTTCTGGATTGCTGCCCTTCTCCAATGTTCTTACTCCCTTCTGTTCTATTGCTAACAATCTTTTCCGGAGTCTTGCATTGATGATCCTTGTCTCCAAGGCATATGCTGTTATAAGCTCGAATATAGTCTTGTAATATTAGTTATTCTGAAGAGTATGAACGGATAATGAATAATAATGATTGGATGAATGGGATGAAATAATGGCTGAATAATAATGAAATAATGAATAATTGGAAAACAAAAATCAATGTGAAAAGAACATTCATCCTAATAAAAACATTAAACGAATTAGTTGAGATGAATAAAACAAGTTTACCTAAAATAGGTTATTTTATTCACATTGCCTAAAATAATGTAATAATAGTTTCTCTCAAATAATTATCCAATTATGTAGGTCATCAGGAGTGTCCAGATGACGATTTCTTAAAGCAAATTGTGAAGTGGCATCAAAATGTTTGAGGGGCATATGTCAATGGAGTTATGAATTTTTTTTTATGATTTAAAAACGATGAAACAAACCACAAGTTTAGTTGTATATCACTAGTGGATTCAGGAATTAATTTTCGAGGGGCATATATTTTACCATTTTGGGAGCAGGGTCAGCCCTAAAGCTCCCTCTCCTCCCCCATCCCCGTAGATCCGTCTATGTTGTATATGATCTACATTTTTCTAATTCTATTTTCGCTTGCACTAAGGGAATGTGCCATTGACCAAAGCTGAGGGATGGGCACTCCTGTTGGTCTTGCAGTTTGTAAAAATGTATTCATATTTAGATTAGTTTATTTTTTATCAAAAATGTTTCATAATTTATTAAACATTAATTTCGATAAGGAATTATGCATCAGTGAAAATAGGATTAAAGTTTAAAATATAGTGACGATGAGAAAGCCTAACTAAATAACCTATTAAAACTCGACCGGAAGTTGCGAATATAGTTAGTTACATGACAAAAATCATTGGTGTGTAACACCTCACTTGGAGTGCCATTTGCTTATGAAATTGTCTTGTTGAAATTATGAATGTACTAAAAGCTTTTTATTTTGTATTTAAAATACTACTCAGATTTAAAATAAAGCGTAGGGTCTTTTTAAGAGCAGATTAATATATTTAATTTGATAATTTACTCTATTCACTAAAGGAAACGATATTTAAACAGTGTATGTAAAGATTTGGATTTTCCCAAATAAAACAATTGTCAAAAAAATTAAGTTTAAAAATATGATGACCTGACAAATTATGTATTTTTTCTGTCCACCCCATGTAGGCTATACGGGGATTTTCCAGGGTCAGGGGAGAGAGTGGGGGATTCAGAGGATGTCAGAGTTAAAAAAGCACACTATGGCTCCTGGATGTGAACTTGTATTCATATCATTTTATAACTCACTAATAAGTTTAACTATTGTAGGTGGGCGGGGTAGCCGAATGGGCTAAAGCGTGTGCACTGCACCGCCGTTGCCTGGCAACCTGATATATGAATTAAAGATATAAAAATAGTCACGAGTTCGCGTCCCGGTGCCGGGGGAGTCTTTTAAATCCCCGCCCACACTCCCTGGCCCGGGAAAATCCCGTATAGCCTTAACGGCGAGGAAGGGAAAGACAAAAAAAAAAAAAAAAAAAAAGTTTAACTATTGTGTCTAATCTTGTATAAATTTATAAAACTGAAGTAACAATCCTTAAAACTTTTTTCTTAACTGTTGGATAGGTTGGGCTTCAAAGAGATGATAGTGTCAGGTAAGGTGGAACTAGTTGGAGACGGGCATGAAGGTAAATGCAACATGACCCTGAGGATGAGGAGGCCTGGTCTTGGAGTGACAGTCCTACCACAGAGGCCAGGACGAGCGAGGTTGGGTCTATCAAGGCTAAGTACTGCCGCAACGTTTGTGGAACCACAATTCATCAGCGTCCACGCCTATGGCTGTAAGAGGTTAGTGAATTCATATAATAATCTTCACTAAGGGAAGATTGAAATAAACATTACCATCAGCTGTATAGAAAGGAAAAATTAGCTTCAGGTTCACTCCTGTTTGAAATCCATGATGTAAAAAAAAATATAGAGCCCTCTTCCTCAGTTTACCTCTGTAAAGCATATGAATTAAGAGATAAATATAGAATATCTTTCCAAAATAACAGTTACCTGGCAGTTAACTGTATGTGTCTAAATCAAATTAAAGATTATTGTATTTTAAAAACCTTGTAACGCTGTTTCACATTTTACTTGCATTAAAATATTATTTTATATTTATCATTTTATGAATAAAATTTCTATAACTATATATTAAATTTTTAGTAAATTCAGTATTAATTATTGGTTCTGAATTTTAAGTAAATAATTATCCTTAAAAAAGTATGACCACCATATATCATTATTTCAACTGGACTGTGTATGGATCAAATCTCTGTTTGTTTATTATTTAAGGTACTTTTGCTTGGTTGCCTAAGTAGATATTACAACCTTATGCATTACATTATTATTGTTCTAATTTTATATGTTCATCTTATAAACTGTGTCTACATTGTGTTGCCCTATTTTTTTTCTACATACATTAAGGGTAATCATTTTTGATATTTTTTGTTGTTTAATTGGATACTATATTATTCAATCAATAACCAAAACGATCTGGTATGAGAATACAAATGCATGGGAAGGAAAAATCAATATATTACTGCTTTCAGAAACTGGCCGAAACCATTTTTTTCTGGGCAAGTGTTTAATAATCTTCATCTCCTAATTGTTTTATTTCAAGATTAGAATCAGGCAATTATTATTTGACTAGGGTAGTTGATAGGGTTCAAATCTCTTCAAATGTAAGTGGAACAATTATTTCCAAAAATGATCACCATTAAAAGTAATCCATACTTTTTCACTTAATGATCAATTTCTGTTGAAATATTGTTAAATCTAATGTTTTTAAAACTTTTTATTAGATTCGAGACTCAAATTCTGGATTATATTAATTATAATTTGATTTTATAAATAACATTACAAATTATATATTCTAAACGATAAATATTATTATGATAATGTTATTATATTTTATTTTAAAGGTCTGAAAAAGGTAGGGGTGAAGAAGAAGAAAAAGAAGAAGTGACAGAGGAAATGGAGGATGTTTTTATGAAAGGTGTGAGATCTCTTATAACAAGGTATTATTTTTTTTGATATTTTACATCTTAAAATTTTATTTTAAAATAACAGTTTAAAAACAATGCCTTCTAACTGCAATATACTATTTTAAGTTGCATAAAGCTGTTTTATTTTATCATTCCTTAATATTAAAAGAGTGAGCTTCTTTACTTATCTGGTTACCAATGTCATGAGTGATAAACGATATCTTAATGGAGGTCAAGAAGTGAATCTGGAAAAGGGATGGAGCTAACAAATTTATTACAGGTCCTAGATGTCGTTAGAATGATAAGGCTGAATAGGCAATGCTGGACAGAACATATGGCCAAAATGACTGATACAGAAATACTCAGAAGAGTGATGGAGGAAAAGATGCAGTGTACAGGAAGAGTAGGGTGCCCTAAAATGTGATGGTTGGATGGGGTAAGTGAGGATTCCAGAAATGTATTGAATGCCCGGAACCGGTAGGCTGCCGCATTTAACAGGGAGGATGGGCGGAAACAGACCAAGAAGGCCAAGATCCATTGACGGGCTGTAGTGCCAGGAAGAAGAAGACGAAAGCTGTTTTATAAAACGTTCACTAAACAAAAATCTATTAAAATTTAGCCGGGTGAAAATTGCTACAGGAAAATGCAAGGAAACCAATGAAAGCAAACAATAGCTGCAAGCACATGATTAATTACAATGAAAATACAGATAATAATAAACCAATAACCCTTATTTGTAATGTTCTAACCTCTTAAAATACAGAATAGTTTAAATAAAAAATATAGTAAATAAATTTCACCTAAATTTATCTAAATAAAGTTAAGTGAACTTGCTTCCTAAGATATGAAATTGTTATGGCTACAATTGCAGACAGCTAACTACCTACATACGCACCCAAGTTTCTTATTATCTATATAAAATAGTTTTATTTGTTTTAATTATAAAAATAAATTTTGTTACAGATATATGGAAGCAAGACTTGAACCCGCTTTGAAAGACAGCCTCATGCTAAGTCTTGGATATACTTTGAGCTATGGAAGATAATTATATTCTGTTGTGCTTAGTCTTCATTTTTGTTTCTGTAATTTATTCATGAATGAATGATGGCGAAATTTAAGAGTTGATTAAATATGTTGTACAATGAGACCTGTGAGAAATGTTTGATTGTAGAAAATTGTGTACAGTACAATTGTAAAAAATATTATTTAAGTTTTTAAACTCTATATTTAACAATAAAAATTATTATGTTTTGTATAAATCATACTTTTTTAATAATGAAAAAATATATTGTTTATATTCCCCATTTTAATTTATAGTAAGTGTCGCTGATTTAGCCCGAGCCAGATACCTATCCTTTCATGATAAACTCCAGTCCCATCCAAATCCACTTGTTTCCAGCCTTGCTTCTTCCTCGATTCCTGATAATCCCCCTAGGCGTCTGAAAAGAAGATGGCCACGTGATCTTCTCACCTAGAATTAAACAGGGAGTGCTACCACTGGACAGTATCTCTTCAAGTCTGTTCATGTCATTATTTCCAATGTGTGCATTTTTACTAGTTGTATTGTTTATACAGTAATGAATTTCATTAAATAAAATAAAATAAAAAATTTATAGTAAAGTTAATAATCACTTAAAAAAAAATTTCCTATGGTGGCATATTTGGTGGAGGATGGAGTAATACCAGACAGGATATTCTGTTATATTCATCCTGAAATAGAAGTACTCACCAAGCTAGACTATGTAAATAAAAAAGTTGCACTTCAGATTAACGAGTCGAAAATGAAATATAGGTTAATGTCAACTTCTGAAGCATGCAGAAGAGGAAAGCCATGCAAAATCTTATTTTGGTGAGCTACATAACCACAACGATATTGTAAGATTTATGAAGAATTAGCTGGCTTGTGCATATTAAAAGGTTACCCAATGAACGAATGATGAAGAACACAAGAGGATCCTTCCCAGGAAAGAAGAAAAGACGATGCCCTAGGAAAAGCTGGCAAAAACACCTAGAAGAGGATCTCAGGAAAATTAGAGTAACTGACTGGAAAAAAAAAGGCTCGAGATAGAGAAAGATGGAGGCAAATTGTTCGGGAAGCCAGTTTCCACCTTGGACTATAAAGCCACATAAGTAGTAATCCTGATATGGTTTATCTTGGTTCAGGTATTTATTGGTGTTACAATAATGCTAATTATTTAAATAACTGTTCAACTGTGTTTTTTAAGGAAAGAAATAACTGAAATATCAGTGTGATGTTGACAAAGAGAAGAAATTTTGAACACTTTTAGTTATTATGAAAATTTCTTGGCCTCTGAATACCATTAAAGGGACTGAGTTTAAAATTATAAAACTGATATAGTTTGTTCCTCATTATGACAGGAACGTATGACTCAAATTGTGTACTTTCACACTGTACAGTTTGTAACTATAGTACTATTTCAATTTTCAGATATTTCTTTTCAATTTGGGTAAATTTTTCTCCTTTTCTTCAGTTAATTGTACTACTAATCAGAATTAAATGTTTCTATAAGTTTGTTTATCTATCATTTATCAGTATTAGCCATCATTACTTTTCTTTTTTAGCTTAATATTTATCCATATTATTTCTTATGTATTCATAAACTTTATTTCAAGCACTAAATTAATTTATTTTACCATAAATAAAATATATAATATAGACTACATACAATTTTCTCTATATAGAGCATAAACTCTTCAGGGTCTCTGTCTTTTTTTCCTTCAGTAATTAGTCCTTTGTCCAAAATTACAACCCTTATTTACTTAATTATCGAATTAATTCAGTTTGCGTTCATCCTTTTTTAATACTAGCAACATTGTGAAGTGGTTAATTATTTCAAAAAACAAAATTACATGCACTTTAAAGAATACTGTTTTGAAAATGCGGCATTTAAGCTTTATCAGACCATTTCAATGAAGTTAATACCAACCTGATATTAAAGACCAATTAATTATACATTGATATAACTAGTTTAATTAAAATTGTAAAAGTGTGTAAAATTGGAGAATAACAAAATTGGAATCAGAGAACAAAACGAGTATTTTCCGTGAAAACTATAATACAAAATGTTCACAATGATTTTCCATAAAATATTAGATATATAGGTAAGCAAAAAAAAATAAAAATAGATAAAGTAAAAAAAAAAGAAATGAAAACAAGCAAAAACAAATTTAAACTGAAACATAACTTCTATATGAATAAACGATAGCTTGTATAGTGAAAGCTTGCAACTTACAGCTTCTAAGGACTGATAAAAAAAAAATATATATATGTATATAAATAAAAAATTTTATTGGCATAAACAATTATAAACAAGTAAGAAATTACTTAATAAAATATTACAAACTTTATGTACAATGTTTTATCCAAATATAAAAATTACAACTAAATATACCATATTGTCTCAATACAGTAATACTTCCATCTAATACAAATTCGAGAACAGATTTATAATTGGCTTAGTTAACTTGTTGGTTGTTCATATCTTGATGTCCTGGTATCTGTTGTCTTTGGACAGTTCGAGTTTGAATACGATGTTTATTTTTTTCCAGTTCATTTAGTCTACTCCTTACATGCTCTAATCTATGCCATGCCATTTGCAATACTTTTTGAGAAGCATAAATACTACCCTCATGAGGTTGGCCTATATAAAACAGAAGATTTCATATTTTCAGCATTACAAATGAAAACATAAAATAAAGTAATATAATAGTATAAATTATTATTAAAACCAAACACAATATTTATATTGTAACCTAAATGATTTAGCCTGTAAGGTCTTTCAGTATTAACATCATATTACAGAAGCCATAACATGTAGTACATAACCCTCCTGGAGCATACTCTAAATTAATTAAGACGAAAACCAGGTGGTTGAGTCACTGAACTCAAGACGCTTTATGAGTTGTAATGATTCGTTGTTTTTTTAAATATAATATAATATAGTAGATAATAAGAACAATGTTTCAAAGATATTTGTCTAAATATAACAAACATTAGATTAATGTTTAAATAATTTGAAAAATTAAAATTAAAAACCAAACAAGATGATTTTTATACAGTCTATTATAACGGGTTTTGAGGAAGAAAATACTTTAAATCAATTTTAATTTTTTTATTTTCTCTAATAACGACAGAATTAGTAGATTCACTTGACATATTTCTCAAATAGTGACAGCACAATATTGTCAATAACATAATATTATATTTAAAGAAATATTGAATCCTTTTCTTTATAACTGTTATATGCTAATTGTTAGTTTAAGACACCAGCCTAAGCATTACAATAGCTTCACTGTGCAGTTAGAGGTTAAGCTCAAGCCTCAAGAACACTATATAAGTTTCCCTTGGCAAATATGCATTGCATATTTCCATACTGACACAGTCAAGCAACAATAGGGATTTTAAATAGCTACTATTCTCGCTCAGAGGTTGTTAGAGACTGCAGTGCAGCTTTTAACAACCTTGCTTAACATAACAAGGTTGCCGTTGAGTGAGAGCTTGGTCACTCTGATATAATCTGGGAGATATATGGTGACAAATTAAAGCAGTACTGGTCTGATAAGGTACAACAGCATTCGAAACTGTTCCTTGAAGGGCCATCCGATAAAAGGAGGAGCTGCTACTCAGTTTGGATAGAGCGGCTCTTAAAAAGCTAACAGCGATCTATACTGGTCACTGTAAAAGAAATTATCATACGTCTAATCTCAGACTAACAAGGAATACCCTTGTGGAATTCCTCTGTATAAATTCTGTTATGATAAAAACAAAACAGCATTTTACATTATTTGTTAAAGTGACAGGTTTTCTAGCCTTAGACTCAAACTGTTTGGTGAAGACCGAAAGATCCCAAATGCTTTGAGTCTATTAATCCTATAAACCTACTAACATATCTGGAAGCAACAAAATTAACATAATAAAATAGCTTACAACATGGTGCACAATAGCTCTCCAAGGTAGTGCATTATGCAAAAAAATAAAATAAGAAAAGCTTTACCTCTGTTTTGGGTACTACTTAACTAGGGCTGTTTCACTATGATAGATAGGCATAAGATATCATGATTAAACTATAAATGGCACTCTGAGAATGTTCAAGAATGGACATATTCAATTCTATGGTATTATTAAACTATTCGGTACTACTTAGTTCACATTAGTTCCACACGGATTAGTAATGGTTTACAATCACTTCGTTAACACTTGTTTATCATCTAGCATTTAGCATCATATGTACCTTCTAGCTACAGCATCTAGCCTATAGTACTATTTATTCAACAACATAAACAGGTATTTACAACTTCCACAAATTCTTTATTGGAGCTTTCCACTTCCACTCGATTGAAAAAGATAAACATTTTCCCAACGGGTTCTTCACACAGAGTGGCTACCAAATTGTTTATAGAATTCTCAGACTTTTTCCTATTTAATGAAAGTTTCCCTTACTAATATGTCAGGGGACATGAATGTTAAAAATGTATAGTTTATAATTATACATATATAGTTTTAACTAATTCATTTATTATACATGATTGAAAATTGAAAGATTAGAGTAAAAAAAGTGTGTTCAGTCTTTTAAATAACAAATATAATGTTCCAGAGGAAGCATTTTTTAAACTTGATTAGGATTTTTTATTTATTTTTATTTTAGAAAACTAAACTTTAAGTCCTCAACTATAAAAATAATTTGTTTCTGCAAATTCTTGGAATTGACATATAAAGTTATAATTTATCAAACTTTTGAACCGTTGGAGATCAACTAGTAAAATAATATATATTCTTGAAGAAAATTTAATTATTAAAAACTTTTTTTCTCATGACTTAATCTTAGAACGAAGTAGCCAAGAGTTAGCTAGTCAAATACAGTAAAAAACATAAGGTAATTTTTTTGTTCACAATAGCGATAAATGGTATATAATCAATCATATTGGAAATTTTATTAGCTTTATTTTTTAATAGAATGTCTTTGTCGATGAGATGGGTAGTTTTTCTGATGTAAGCGAAAACCCGATAAATAGCTATCAACAGGAGGCAAAATTTTTTATTTCAAAATTATCCAATGCATAGGACGGATATCTCGGAAAACTAAGCGAGGTAGCGAAAAAATGTATATAGTCAATCATATTTAATTTTATGTAGAACGTCATTGTCGATCTGATGGATAGTTTTCCTGATATAAGTGAAAACCCGAAAAAAGTAACCTTCTAGGCCCCTAAATCTGGCTCACCACCTAAGAGTGGGGACTTTTAGTATATTTACCTCTTTATTAGTTAAAACAATTTCCCAAAGTCAAAAATTGTGTCAATGCCATTTCCTTCTATACCCTTTTTCGATCATTCATTGACTGGACTATGGACTCCCAGCAACCTGATAAACTCAAGTTTACATGATAAAATAATTATGAGTTCGCGTCCTGGTGCCAGGAAAGTTTTTAACACCCTCGCCTTCTACACAGGAAAAGCACTGTATAGCATCAATGGTGTAGATGGGATGGGCCCAAAAAGAATATTAAAAACTAAAAAATACTGAGATATTTCTAACCCGAAATATCTATAATTTAAATAATATATAGGTATCTATCGTTTGCCAATATTAACTGTTAAAACCAGAAGGCAACTCAACCGTTCTTTAACTATCTGTAAAATCGAGTTTTTGAGACAATACTTCTAATCGATAATTGCATATCTCTAAACTAAATTTCTGGTTGGTGTAATTTAAGACTGAATATAAAAAAATTAAAACTACAATAAACGACATCCGATGGTATCATAGCCTGCATTGCACTTCCAGAGACTTTCGTCATGTCAACCGAGGTTATGGTTTTCAATTTTATTTTACAGCAATTAATGTGTGAAAAAAAGGTACTAATTAATAGTTTGGAGTTCCAATTTATTTATCTGTCACTAAATTAATGGGAGAACATAGATAATATTTAGTAAAATAAGATGAGAGCGGGCAGTTGGAATAGCGATGTGGTTTTATTCTTTATAACAATATCGGAAGAATCATAATAATCAAGGCTGCAGCTTACATTAAAATTTCATCTTCGAATTACAATATCATATCAGTATTGCAACCGTCGTAGTAATAATAATTATGTTTATAACAACAAAGTTTACTAGGTCCCTTGAGGTCGTTATAAATGACATCCACTGTATAGTAATTCCAATTTGAAACAAATATTTACAAACTAAAAAAATTCCCTCACTTTTCCCATTTTCCAGGTCGGTCGCCACCCTGTTCTCAGCTAAGGTCAGGGCTTAACCAGACAAATCAGTCACCTCCTCTTACTTTCAGTAAACACTCTGAATTTCAATTATAGTATGATCGATTTTGCGGCTATTCATCAAGGTGGAGCAACACTTGTGAAGTAGTATCCGGTTTTCATATAAATAATGTTCTCCAAATTGCGACTCATATAAATGATAAACATATTATTTCTAAATCACTTATTTAAATAATATACATTAATTCTTGAAATGAACAAACACCAAAGAAATGTAGAGAGAAATAATTGCTAACCTGTTGATACTTGGGTTAAGTAGTTAATTTGCTCAGTTAACTTTGACTCAACTTGTCCAAGAGTTTTTAAAAATAAATGTGTTTGACTCTCGGCTTGCTTCAGACTTGACTTTTCCTTGCTTAGCTCCATAAGTGCAGTACCTAAAAAAAAAAAAGCAGAATAAAAGTAAAAAGAAAAAGTACAAGTGAAAAATATACTAAACAAATTGTTAGGCAATCAAACTAAGATATAAACAAAATCTGTATTTAAATTCCTAAAAATTTATTTTATAAAGTAATTAGCGGCTTTAAAATAATATTATATATAATTAATAAATAATATTACACCGGTACCTGCACTATGTAAGCAAGTCACAATATCTTTTTCAATTGTATCTAAGACTTGTATACGTTCCATTGGTGCTGTCATCCTATTTCTGTTTTAGTCAACTAAGTGGTCAAAGGTTGAACTTATAAGTAAACAAGACAGAATAACAAAAATATTTACTTTCAATAATAATACAGAAGTAAAACATAAAAACAATAATATTAGAAATGCGTTCAATAACGAAGTTCAATGTTGAAACTTCCAATATGCATGTGCTGCCCCCTATGAAAGAATACATAACGATGATATTAAATATTATTTAAATTAAGTAAACTGTGAAAGACATTTTTTAAATTTTAATATTTGTGTATTTTGAGAATATTTTTTTTTTAGAAACTCCTCATTAACTGAACATACCTTATGTTTTCGTGTCATTTGACGTGATTACAGTATACGCCATTTCTTGGATTCTTCATCATCAGGTAAATCCATATTTTTTATATTGTATCATTCGTTTTAGTTATTCTATATAAAAGAAAATGAGAAAGTATCATGATATACTATATCCAGGTATACCGATGGGAAAATACTCCGAAACACTGGCAATTATACTGTAGGTATCAATAAATGTATAAATTATTAAAATAATATTTTATTCACAATTTTCATAAGCGATATACCAACAATAAACAGCTAATGAGAAATTCTTCTCAAGTAACAAATACAAAATGCAATTGATATCCATCCTTAATATATATTAACTTTCTTCCTTGTCTATTCGGTGGCCATCTTCAGGATTGTCCGCCTCTCCCCTGAGACAGTCCTTTTGGTGATTAACAATAGGATTTTTTTTTTCTTACCCTCCATAAGCAAACCATACAATTTACTGTATATGTATACACAGAAGTATACATATACTCAGAGTATGCTTACCTTTAACAATAGGAGTTAGTTTGGTATAGATTTATAGAACTGAATGAAAATGTTGCAGTGATATAGCGATGGAAAGTAGAGTAGAGCATTGATAAGAGGATTTGACCCAATTAGCATTGTATTAGGTTCTCCGGATTAAGGCACTAATTACACTGCCCTACAAAAACAATTCTTTGCGTGTATATTCGATAAAAACTGTTTCTCTTGACTAATTTTGGTGAGAGAAGCTCGAATTTTCTATCAGAATCCTTATATTAGCTACCGTTCTGCAGATACGTATGCTAATAATATACGAAGTATCGAATACAAAAATATAAGTTATTAGAAGTTACATGATCATTTCTTAGGCCATAAAAGTTCTTTATTATTTGTGAAATACTTTTACAACCCAAAAAACATTAAATTACAACTTCTCTCAGCAAGAATAGTGCTGTTGTACAGTTTATTTAGAACGTTTTTTCTTTGATTGACGATTGTACTGATGTTCAGGCTAAACCCTCGCAACGTTCCAACTGCAGTCTGCGATTATTGAAGTATCCCACCGACCTTGATATATTCGTTCCATTGAGGATATATCTTAGTGAAATCGCTCACCATATTCGCCACTTACAGATCCACAATTTTCGGGAAATAAGTCCAAATGAGAGTGAAGAAAGTGAATTTTGAGTGACATGTTACAATCCAGTTCTCTAAACTTCTCAAGGAGGATTTGGACAAAGAGAGCATAATTGTCTTCTCTTTTGTTACCCAAGAAATCATTAACTAAAGCTGTAAATGCTTCTCAATCTGCTATTTCTTTATTCTGAAGAATATTAAAAAAATCTCCGTCATTAGGAAGCTCACGGATTTGTGGACCAATAAATACACCCTCTTTAACCTTAGCTTCACTTAAGCGAAAAAAATGTCCTCACCTGATTGGTCCATTCCTTTGACAAAATTTTTCATGAGTCCTAACTTTATATGTAGTGGAGGCAAAATAATTTTTTTCAGGATCCACGAGAGGGTTGTAGAGAACATTGTTTTGTCAAGGAGTCAGGAATTGTCTTTGAGGCCATTGTTTCCTGATGTAATGAGATGCTCTGTCGTCCCGACTGTTCCACTTACTTACTTACTTAGTATATCCCTAATTGGAAGAATTGCCACCACTTTCAGGTCTACACAGATTTGCCAGACAGGCGAGGAAGATATGAACATAAAACTTAACTGGAATTATAATACCGTTTCTACCTATAAGCTTTATAAAATCGATTTGTTTCAATTTACCGCCTTTTGTGATAACGATAATGTTGAGTTTCAATATTCTCCCTATTTCATTTTAGAAATTAATGGATTGTAAAAAGTTGATAAATTATCAATTTTTTTTAAAATTTAGCATCTAGTTATAAGTTGTTAAAATTATGTCCAAAACTAAATCTGTTCAGAAAGACTGTTCGAAATCTTGCTGTTCCTCACCTGGAAAATCCTTATTGTTCATAGTTAAAGGTGTTTTATTTTATACGTTTTTTAATTAATAGTGAACTACTTATATACATGTATTTATGTTAGTTTAAATGTTTTAATTTTTAGTAGTAACAATTTTATCCAATTTATATTACTGCACTGAATTATTTTCCTATAAAAATTATACATTGTAATGAGATTCTACTTTTTCATAACTTTAATTTGATGGAAATCATTTTAGAATTTGGAGAATCTGAATCAAATCAGCCTGCTCATGTTGTTCGCCTGCGACACCCTAGGACAGGAGAAGGATCTCTGTTTTTAATTTCTCCCGAAAATAAAGTTGTTCATGAAATTCTTACTTTCCAAGAGCCCAAAAGGTAAATATCATGTCACTGTGATGTCTTCATATGTTTTATTTCAATCATGGATTAGTTATATACTCGGAAATTTTTTAGATCTATTTCAATATTTCTCTAATATGGTCCAGACTGTATGAATAGTACCATTGACATGTAAATGTTATTTGTTATTAGATGTAATGGAATCTTCATGACATTTTTCAGTGAATTGCCGTGATATGTTAATTAAGTTATTTATCTTTTCAAACCTTTATTTATCTTTTATCTTTGTGAAAAATGACTATACTGGTGAATTTTAAGTTCTTTTTACATTTGTGTTTTAGATCGTATTTTATTGGAAACGAAGTTCAGTCAGATGGAAGGTATTTTCTTTCCACTCCAGTAGATCCACTCTTCTTAGCTTTACCATATCTGAAAGAGGTTCGTTTGTTGAAGTTCATTTATTTATCAGTTTAAAATAACATAAGGCACAGCAAATTTGGATGTTCAATATTGACACTACTATTAATCATTATCTTCCTCAACTAAGCACTATTAAAATACAAATATCAATCAAGTAAATGACTGATTTAAAATTAAGCCAATTTATTTCATTTCCGAAAGGTGGAACTTGTTCTGGATTGATTGTGAAATCTCCTTTATCTTGTATAATGCTACATTATAAGTGGTGCTCCACTTTGATAGGTGGGCAAAAGATCTCATGATCTAACAAATTGAGTTCTGAGCAGGGTGGAACATTGATATCTTCACGAGTATAACTTCTCTTTATATATATATCACGAATTATGACTTCCACAAAGTCTCAGTGGTTCTTCTTCAATTAAAATTATGGTCTTCATTAGCTTAAATTATATTGATTCTTTTGACTTCTTCTAGCCCCAAAAGTGATGAATTAATCCTATTTTTTAGTCAGTAGAGGTCATGTCCTTGCCCAACTGTTCTCCATCTGCTTTTGAACACACTTCACCATTCTCGGAATTCCTGAGGCTGTGATGGCTTGGTATGATAAAGTATTTTGCCTGCTACGGTATTCTCAAATCTAGCAGCACCAGTTCAAATCTGGTCTGAGTGGGTAGAAATCTATTTTTTATTAAACCCATAGAATGAAGACTTTTCCACTCTAGTTAGAATATGTTTGATTTTACTTTTTAAATGTATCTTGGCTCTACAATATTTAAAGTGAATAAAATTTGGGATATAAAAAAAATTAAAATATAGAAAAATCCTTGTTTATACTGAACTCTTTTCCAAATTTACTAGATAATTATATACTTTGTATAGATTTTTACAGATATGAAATGTAGTTACACTAAAGACAGAATAGCATCTTCAAGTTTCTATAAATAAATCCCCATGGATAGAATATTTGTTTCAAATAAGGATGAATCAGCTACTGAATTCACTCGGATTTACATGATTTCGTCATTTGTAAGTACTTAAGGAATATATGATGAACCAATTGATTACAACGAAGTTGTGGGGACTAAGAATTAGGTGGAATGATTTTGCTAGTTTTGAACTTGTGGATTTGGGTTTGAAGTTTTAGGAAAATGTATGGTCAATAGTCGATGTGTTAACAGCATCAAACGTCCAAGTTTGCTGATACTTAATTTTGATTATTTTCTAGATTATAGTAATTTATTTAAGTTTAGTTGAATATTTTAATTAGTTTATTATTAATAATTAATATAATTTTCTTGATTAATTAAGTATGGTCGATGTTCACCTCTGGACCATATTATAACCGATGATGAGTATCCTGAAACTGAAAGGCTTCTAACATGTAGTGGTCTAAAATATATTCATCATATTGCTGACAAAAAGGGTTAGTAACATTGTTTCACTTTAAAGGATTTTAGTGTATTTTTTAAAATGTTGTAAATGGATTTCTTAATAAATAAAAATTATTTTATCTGATTTACAGGAGAAGATAGCTTAAATGCTTACATATACAATGAGGAAAAGGCTCTAAAGTGGCTTGAAAAGAAGGTTAGAAGAGCAGCTTCAATTCTTAATGAAAAGGGTCACCATGTAGCTTCTCACAGTGTTGTTTCAGCTAACTTTGTCATTAATAAGGAGGGCGAATCAGAAGGTAAGTATTACTACTATGCTATGTTTAAGTGTTGCTTCCGGTTTTAGGAACACAGACTCGATTACTCCTTCAACCTGCGCCTATCAAATATCATTTAATTGCCTTGTGGCCAAGATAGATACCTATTCTTTTTTTTTTCATGGCTGGTTTACATCGTCAAGTTTCTTGATCAAAGTCTGGAAGAAACTTACATTGATCAAGAAACTTGGCCATGTAAATGCGTTTTGAAAGTTGGACATTTTTTATTGGACATGGCAGCACTCCTCTTGTTCAAGAAAAAAAAATTCTTTAAAACATGCTCCGTGGTGTGCTATTATTTCATTGTGGGATCCTTTATGAGCATTGATTGTGCGATTGATAATGTTTTACAATTTTCTATTTTGCATCAAAATTTCTGGTTGGACCCTAGAAGACTTGAAAATGGTTTAGATGATAACTAACAATGATGGTTTCTGAAGTAAACTAGCAAATTGAGGTTTCTTTTCTACCACGCCAAGAATCATGTGAAAAGCCCTGATATGGGGAGAGTAGGAGGGGATAAAAATTTAAGTTTATGTCAAGTCTTCATTCATGACAGTAGACCACCCAGGTCATTCTTCATCATGAACATTTGTCATTCCATTAAAAAAAATTAGACCATTTACACACATTTCCATCATTCATTATACCTTCACCATAAACTTTATCAAGTTGCTGGTGAATTTCAGCCGGATGAATTTTTTTGCATTTAAAAATGAATAAAAGATTTCACTTCGACATTGGCAGCATTATTGATTAATATGGCAACTAATAAAGCAGTTTGACCACATATTCAACACTGGTAGGCGTGTGAAACGTTATGGTGGTGTAGTAAGGGACGGGCCAAGGATGGCTAACCATGAATGGATCTCACATGACAGCCTGCATGGAAGAGATGCAGAATTAATTCTTACTTAAAAATGACCCTCGTTTATCACATTTATTTATTTTCATATTATATTATCAGTTGTTTACTGGCCAATATACCATATGAATTATTCTCACACACCTATTGTAAATCTTTTTATGTTTTATTTTCATTGAATAAAATATACATATTATCTGTGTGATATGTTCTAATATCACTATTCTGTTTTTGTTTTTTTCTTAGACAGTTATTTACGTTATGCATGCGGCTTGGTATCTGACTACTTACCAGAATCTCTTTCAACTGCTTTAGAGAGCCATTTAAAATTACCTTCAACAGAAACAGAAAAGAAGAGAAAGAACCCTTTGAATGGAACTCCTCTGAATGGTGAAAATCATAGAATTAAGAAGAAGAAAGTTGATGAGGATGATGATTCCCCTCTTAGTTCTTCACCAGCAACTCCAATAGAGAAGGTAATATGTCTTCTATGGCTCATGTAGTAATTAATGTTCTATTAGCTTTCAAATATTGTTGGATTAACTTAATCAGTAGTTATAGTAGAAGATTTACAGTCTATTGTTGTTTAGTTGTTTTATATTCATTTCTATTATTCAGATTCTCTCTTATATTGATTATATTTCTCTGATTTGAGAAACTGGTTCATCTAACTATTTAGTCATTTGTTTTTTTGTATTGTCATATTTTTTTTTAATTTTAGAAAGCAACTCCATCAGCTAAGGAAAAGAGAATGGCAAAAGCTGCTACTGGTTCCAAAAATATAACATCATTTTTCATGAAAAAGTAGTATTTTTTTATTTGAGAAATTGGTTTTACTTAATTTAAGCTAACTTTACCTATTTTAATGTTTTTGTACAATATATAGTGTTTTATATTTTTATTTCATTTTGTTTTTATTTCATTCCACATCCTGGTCATATAACGGTTTTATTTTAGTCATTAAATTAAAAATCTGGTTTGTGCAACATACAACTTTCACTTATCGCTCTACTTTGAATAAAAATTATTTTCTGGCAATGTTGGGCTATTATAAAATTTTTGAAGTACATTTTTAACCTAGCTAAAGCTTAAAGATTACAGCTAATAAATCATTAATACCATTAAAATAACAAAAATCCTACTTATATCAACGGTTGATTATGGATTGTATGATTATTAGTTATTAATCTGTTATTTTCCATTGCAAAGTTTACTATAATGAAATTACGAGATTTACATTACCTGTCATAGATAGGTCAAAAGTTGTCACACTAATTTTAATTGCGTACTGTTGGGATATCATAGTGGAAAAATTCATCATATTATTCACTAATTTAATTTTATAAAAGTTTACATAATTATTTTTGGAATAAACGGACGGTAAATACCTAATTATTTAAATATAATGTCAGAACTAGAGTTATTAAACTACAGTAGATGTATTCAAGGTTATAAACATCCATAAAATATTTTTGTATTTCATTTCTTTCACACAAGTACAATGAAATTATATTTTTAACAATGTCATTGCCTTGATTCGGTGTATTGTAGTTACTTTTTTTTTAAAAGTTAAAAAAAATTAAGTTTAGATTTACTAAGAAAATTTCATTTAATTTCCTTGGAAACTTGATTATGTTAAATAATGTTAGTTTTCTGAAATTATTATTTACATTTTATTTGTCACTCTAAAGTAAAATATAAGTTTTTTAAATGTGTATTAAATAAAACATAAAGAATATCTTCATCTAAAAGCAAGAAAACCTATTTCATAGATTTTAATGTAATTTTGCAGTTTTGCTTACCCACTACCGAAGGTATTGAAGAATTGTGTTCGTGCGAGAGATTAAAAAATTTTTTTTGCTCAGAATCGAAAATTTCCACTCGCGTTTTACGTTTCAGACATCAAGGATCAAATTTGGTTCGGTGTCTGTCTGTCTTGTCTGTAGTCAAATCGATGTGACAGGCATATCATCTAGTGCCGTTTATCCTATCTTCATGAAATTTTCAGGGATTGGATGAAGATGGTGCCTATTTGCCTATAGCAGACTACTATGGAAAATAGCAGATGACAATAAAATATGAAATTATTCTAATAAAGCATAAAGAAATAATGAGTTTTTATGCACTCTTGTAAAACAATAAATAAATTTTTATGTAAGACCTTTTGCACTATCAGTATTGAAATTCATATTCAGTATGCATTTTTTTTTATTAAGCATAATCATGTATGGAAACTTCAAATACAACACTCTTTTGTTGAATGTTGAAGGGAAACTGTAATCGGCTATTCCGATTCTGCTTCTCTCAGAGATTTTATTCTCATACGAAAAATTGTATATCTTGTAATATACATCGGAAACGGTGAGGAAGCTATACTGACCTTACTTGGCAGACGTTTTTTCTTAGTTTTTGAACTAAATAATATTTCACAAGTTCTGTTTATCTTCATGGATAACAAAATTTCACTATGAAGGATAAAAACTGCTTTTTAAAATTATTGAATGTATTAAGTAATTATACATAAAATTTGATATTTTTTGTTTGTGGAGAAAAGGGTTGTAAGCTTTTGGGGCTAAAACTAAATCTTATATTCAAGTATAAATTTGAAAATGATTTATCCTGATAAATCACTGTTATTATATTTTATCAAAATTATTTTCTTCTTATTTATTATTTCTGAATATATATCACTTTTCCGGCTCTCAGGAGTGATAGATATTGACAAATGAGGTATCAATAGAAAAGGAATATCCCGTAGAATGTGCCAATTGTAATTTATATATTTCTAACTTTATACTAGGACTTAAATAAAAGTGGGAGGTTTCAAACAATGTGATAGTGCCATCTCAAGGAATCATGTTAGGAATTCATAATTTGGGAATAACTTGAAGAGTACACAATTTAGGATTCATTATACATACAAGTATTTGAAAGTTTACTTAATTTCCTGTACAACATAAAAAAAATTGCGATTAATAGCAGTTATGTACAATAAAGTATTATTATCGGATATATATATATATTTACACTTATTTTCGGTTTATATTATTAGGAGAGCCCTATCACATCAAATTTATATTAGTTATATTATGATTAAATGACAAACGTTAGGTTTGTGCAGAGTATTCGCATCGATCATCTATAATCATTTATTTTGGGTTTTTTTATTTAGTGTGGCATTTGTATTTCATAGTAGTATATCATTCAATGTAATAAATTAAATACCTAACTACAAACATAATATTTTGAAGTTTATACTATGAATTTACATAGCGAAATTACTGTCTAATTACTGAAAAACTGTAATTACTGTCTAATAACTGAGAAATTACTGAAATAGTCTGGGAGCCACTAGCGGATCCAGGATTTATTTTGGGGGGGGAGGGCTTAAGCCCGAAAGTTGTTTTTTTCATAAAAATAACGATAATTAGTTTGGAAAAAAAGAAAGAAACTAACTACCTATATGAAATGGTGTTTAAGTGATCCCTGAAGCCCTTTTAAATGTAATTAAACCAAAAATAATACTTTAGGAGACACTTTTTTAATATTTTTTTCGATAAAACATGGTTATATTTTACCATTTTGGGGGGGGGGCTTCAGCCCGAAAGCCCCCTCCCCCCGTAGATCCCCCCGTGCTGGGAGCCCATGGGGAACATGACTTATTTTAAGTTTCACCAATTGCAAACAATTGTATTCTTTAAGAATAACTGAAAAATCTGATGTCTGCCAGCATAAATTAGTAGGAATACAAAATGACTTCTTCAGGTTTCTATAAATAAAGAGATGGATATAATATTTGGCCCAAAAAAGGATGAATCAGCTGCATTCAAGACTTGATCATTTAAGATTTTAATGTTATTGATAAATATAGGATGAACCAATTGATTACAATCGAGATGTGGGGCTGAGAATTACAGGGGAAGATTTTGATCTTTTGGATTAGGGTTTGAAAGTTGAGAGAAATGTATGATCAATAATCAATGGTGTTATTAGCATCAAATGTCCAAGTTTGCTGAACCTTATTTTTACTTTCACTTACCTCTATATAAAGTAAATAGTAAGAGAAAGTATCGCGGTGGTGAAAATTTTCAAATCCGAGTTTTTAATGGTCTTTTTCTTTGTGTTAACAGTCTAGCTCAAAAGCTAAAAGTCGTTCAAAAGTGAAATTGCATATTTAAGGTTTGTATATAGCTGGGATGTTTCAGAAATATTTTTGTCAAAATCAGCTAACCAGAAGTGGAACTTTATATCATCAATTTAACACATTTTCTCGAAAATGGCTCAAATGGTTTTGATTAAATTCATTACATCAGTGTAAAATTAAGCAGTCTAATATAATGTAGATCTTATTCTCATTGATGCTCTCTAACAGCGGTTAAAGGCCTAATTTAAAATTTTGTCCTCTAAAAATACCTTCAATTTTTTTATTTGAAATAATTAACCATTTCACATTGTAACTTGGTATAAAAAAAGGGTTAAATATAGAATAATTTGATAATTAACTAAAAGAGAAATAAGGGATCGTATTTATATATAAAGCAATATAAAATTGAAAGTTGTGTGATGCTCACAATGCACCAATTATTTAAATTTCATTGTTTTCCAAATTATAGCGATTTATATAAGTTTAGTTATCTTGTCAAAACGCTGCTTTCTAGCAAAAACTTTTTTTATTTAAAGAACTTAAAGTTTTGTGTCAAATAATTATATAACAAAATATTTTTGATTGGCCACCATTTTCTTTTCCAGCAGATGTCATGTCGGCATGTCATGTCATTTTTTTATTCTTCAAGGAGATAATTGATTAAAATTAGTGTAAAATAATTCATATTTTATTGCATGGGCTTCTGGAATGTAATGGGAATGTTATGAAGAAGTAGTAGGATAGAAGAGAATTAAATCGAACAACGTAAAAACTAATTTATATACTTACAGTATAAATTACAATATCTATCAGACTAACCTCACGTATGTTCAGAAATACATATATATACAACATTTTACATAAAATAGTTAAATAGGAATCTGTGACAGTTCTTCACAGTTTCGCTCCCAAACGAGATCTTCAGGTAGCTGCAGGTATGAGTAAAGGTGTTGTTGCATAATCAGGTTCGAAAATTTCTGTTGTAGAATATAAACTAAGTGATGAATCTGTTAACTCTGGACAACAAGCTCCAGCATAACTGGAATATAAAAAAAAAAAAATTACATCATGTTTTGGAGAGATTATTTATTTTTATTTTTCGGTTAATTGAAAAAAATATATATAATTATCTTTCCAACTCTAGCAGAAATATATATTACTCTTCATTTGAGAATGAATATCACTCTTAAATATATATCACTCTATATAAATACATCACCTATCAAATATAAATATATAACTTTTGAGAATAAATTGATGCATATGATGGTACCTGATTATTTAAAAAAGTTCATTTATCTGAAAGTTTGATTTCAATGAACTTATCTTTTTTAAAACTTGTGTACCAGGAACTAACAATTGTCTATTCTTGATTAAAATGTATGTTTTTTTCTCGGTTATGAAATAGTTCATTTGTTCGATACTTAATTTAATGTTTTGTTATCCACAACGTCAAAAGAACATATATCGTAGTTCACTTTATATAATAGTTTCATTAATTTTTAAATGGAATCACTTTTAAACATATCACAGTGTTCAGGTCAGTAAAATTTGTTTATATAGTTTTGAAAACATACCTTTTTTCTATGATACAGAAGTAGTTAGAAGTGTATTCCTGAAGCGAGGAAGCAAACTGTGGTAATATACAGTCCGTAACGTGTCTGCACAGACCTTCGATTCCATCATTTAACATGCATTTGCCACCTGGTTCTTCTTTTCCAGTCTGAAAAAAAGGTTAAAACTCAATAAAGCATTTAAAACTGTTAAATATAGCTTACATTTTAAACTGAACATTGTTGTTGAGGGAAAAGCTCTGGATAATCTGGGAATCATTTTTTGAGTTGCCATTTTGGGAGAGTTGCATTATTCTGTTATACCTCTGCATAAGTATAACTATTGCTCATTTTAAATTTAATTATTGTTGTTTTATAAAATATGATTTAAGCGTTAACTTTGATATCTACATATTAATGCACTTAATATGTGGCTGATTTTAATACTTAACAATAAAATCAGTGTAAGAAAAAAATATTGTATCAAGACTAATGTTTGGTCGTTAACTTATTCAGTATGTTCTCTGTTTTTTATGTTAATTTTTTTTTCTCTCTCTCTCCCTTCTCATATATATGTATATTGTAAATGGTCTACTAAATATCTTTTCAAATATTTTGGAAAAATTAATATTACAAAGAATAAAGAGTCATATAAGGAGAAACAAACTTATAATTGATTATCAGTTTGGTTTCAGGAAACATCACTCCATGGTACTTCAATTGGCATGTTTCACAGGTTTTATAATAGGTCTCAAATAGAAAGAAGCATTCTGGCAATCTTTTATTAGAACTTGAAAAGGTTTATGCTACGGTTTGAGGTATGGGACTTGGATTAACTAATTTAAATTTCTCTCCAATAATGATATTTCCAACCACCCACAAGTAACAAGGCCCCACTATGCTATCGAAATGGCATTGTACATTTTCTTATTGCAGTGATTTAGTAGTAAATCGGTTTCAATAACATTTTAAATGTTGCCAAAACCAGAAATTAAAAATAACCTCAGAAAGTTTGAAACCATAATATTTACAAAGCACAGGCTGTATATAAACCATTATATTTGCTTAAACTCAGATTACATTTCTGTTCTAAATCAGTTACCTATTAAATTAACTTGTAATAGGTTTTTATCATTCACATAATGTATCAATAGTAAAAAACACTAAGACAAAAAAATTATCTTAAAAATATTTCTATATTTTAACGAAACAGCCAAGTTGAGCCTCCAAAACAAACTCATGCTATGTAAAATGGTTATCAGAGCTGTGATCTGTTATGCCTCACCCGCGAGGAGCTCGACATACATAACTAATTACAAAACACTTTCTGTTTTTTCAGAAAGTTCAAAATTTATGTATGAAGATCATCAATTACTACCCTACCATACGAATTTTATTAACCAATTTTCAATTTATTTCAATATAAAATTTTAAAAAATTATAAAACTTAATTTGACTTACTGTTGTATTTAAGAAATGGTATATTTCAGATTTATTATTTTTTTCAATGGATATAGTTGAATTTTCCCAAGAGTAAACATCCTTTAACCATATAATATCTTCTAAATACAGTCTACTTGGAGAATATGTTGCATAATCTTCTTCAGTAGAGCTGTGATATGCTTCTTCTTCACTGGTCTCCTCTATAAAATTTTTAATGGTTACAAAAAAAAATTAATTATGTTGTGGATATAAGTATTTATGACTTATTTTTATTTTTATTAAATTATCCTGGTATTCCTCTGCCAGGGGTAAAACAGGGCTGATTTGAGGCATATGCACACAGGCCCTAAATTAAATTATATAAAATTGCCTAAATTATATAAAAAATTTCAGAAGGAATGACAAATGATTTATTTACATAAAAGATGTTCATTATCTTTGGTATGAGTGGGAGAAGTTTGTTAATTGCAATAATTTAAAAATTACCTGTGATCAAATATGAATCAGGAAAATTTCAATAGTTTAAAAGTTGTTTATATAAAAATGATGTTGCACAATCAATGATTAATGAGGAACTGCTGGTGAAATTAAAAGGCCGGCGTCTTTCCGGTAAATAAGCAATTTAAAAATAATGAATTGTAATTTATACAGAATAATTTTCCAGATATGGCAACCATATTTTAAAACTTTGACTGGATATAGGACTATAAAGACTTGCTTAGTTACTTGAAACAATAACGCTAGCCCAATTGCTAAGAACTGACTAATTTCCAATATCTTAAAAAAAATTATACCTTCATCGAACCAACACACTATTGGGCTATGAAAAAAACTGCAAGACTATTATTTCTAAAACATTTTGTTGGGACTGTTTATTTAATATTAGATGATATTTCTAAATACCTGCATCTATCCTGTCGATCGTTGTTGTTGAATAATTAGGTACCATTGGTTGTGTGGCCATTACATCTACTCGGGAAGCTGTAATATAATTGTTTTTCATTAAAAATCACAAAAAATGTTAAAATGTTTTATAATAATAATTTTTAAATATTTGAAACTACTTACGACCATAAGCTCCTGCGAATCCATGTATACTTCCTTGTAGGTATGCTATTTTATTTTTATATCCCGTCTCACCTAGAATGATTATAAAATATTTAAAATAAATTGCAAGATATAATGAAATATCTATATCATGTAATACCATATGAAATTAGTATTTTATTTTACTTTTAACTCTCTTCTATTTTTAATTGATATGATATATTACTCTGTGAAAAAAAAAGGTTATAATAAAAAGAAAGTAAAAGATCATTTGAAAAACCACAGCTCATTGAATCACTCTACAGTTTTGATAAAAATAAATCATAATATTTTTATTGGATTTTTAAGAACATTTTTAAAGTTAAACCTGGCTGAATTAATCCAAAGAAAATAGATTTTATGCAAATGTTAAAACTCAATAAATGTTAGAAATAAATTTCAAGCTGTAATACAGTTTGAAACACTTGCAGTACTTATTTGAATGATTTTTATTTCTCATTTATTTAATTAGAAGTAAATTTATTCATGTTTGATTTTTGAAATGTGAAAATGTTTGTTCCGAAGAAACTATATTTCTATATTTGTTAACAATGTTCTGATAAGTTCTAGAAAAAAATCCTGTTTATAAAGATTTTAAATATGTGAAAGTTCATTATGTAGGAATGTAGGAGATTTAACTGTATAGGCATTCATATTAATATTTCAAATAATCAAAAGTACTTCATTTAATTATCACTAACAGATATTTAAAAAAAGAGTCAGAAACCAATTATTGATCTGTTACAGAGAGAAAATTTTATTTTATTTATTATAGGACCTTATATTCTGTTTGAAAATAAATAGGAATAAGATTTTCTTACCATGTTTCATCTTATTGTTACTCAATTCTTCAGTCTTATTTGGTTTTACTACAACTAGTGATGTAAATGGAGTCACAAATTTGTACTGCAAACAATATTCTAATTAGAACCTTATATTTTATATCTACCATTATAGTTTATAATTCAGTTCATGTTTGGTATGAATTTCATCATTGCCTTACCTTTAATGCTAAGTTTACTGCCTGTTTCTGAATTTCTTTTTCTGCATCTGGATTTCCTTCGACAGCTTCCAGTTTGTCTACATACTGCTGAATGCTCAAATAAGCCCACACTCTTTCTAAACTTGTCATTAGGAGTTTTTTCTTCTTCTTTTTACCATCACCTTTAAGTTCTTCTTCAAGTTCGCCAGTTGTTTTGTTGGTCTCTGTGTATTCTATAGTTGAAATGTCATCCGGAATACCTCTCATTGCCTATTAAATACATATAAACATTCTTATTTATTTAGAATATATATAATATAGAATATAGAATACTTTTTAATTTTTCTAATTCTTTTTCATGATAATAATAATAATAATGAATTAGGTAACTATCTAAAGTTAATTTATTGCGATCTGTCTTATTATATACAAAAAACTTTGAAATTACCTGCCCTTGGAACAAGGTTGTTCCATTAACTGTTGTTCCCTCAACTTTTGTCTGAACATCATTGGTTCCTGTCAGTTTTCCAGCTACAACAAGCTCTGAACCAAGGAACAAAGAAGGAAACCTATCTTTTGTTATTGAACCTGGTAGTACCTTAAAAGAAAACAAATAATATTTTTTATTGCTTTTAAACCTTTTAATTTAGTACATCATATTCAGTTTAATAAATTATGAAGTTCAATCTAACATTGTAATATTAGAATTAAAATAGGTTGTCATTTTGACTGCTTTAAAATGTTTTGGATATAGGATCTCCTCATGTCTAATTGTTTATTTAATTTTTAAAATAGTAGATCGCTTGCTGATTGTCAATCTTGTGCTTGACTGGTTTATTATTCAAAAAATGAAATAAATATTAAAAAATGTGGGTTGTCAAATACTATCAAGATTTTATTTGGAGTAAAATATAGAAATATATATTTTTTTACATTTTATTGCTAATAAATGAGAAGAATAGTCTAGTGGATGTTATTGAAACAAGTTTTTGTATAGTTTTGATTCATACATCATGTATCTACGCATTTTCTCATAGAGTAATTTTTGTCTCCTCAGAATGACCCAGAAATAAATATCCCTTTCAGTTGAAATGGATTTTTGGAGGAGAGTAGCTAGAATATCCAAGATCGAAAGGGTAAGAAATGTCACCAAAAGGGAGAGATTGTAAATAAAACAAAATATCCTAGAGATTATAGAAGAAAGGAGACTCAGATGGTATGGCTATGTGAGACAAATATGTGCTGATAGAATTCCAAAGATAATTATGGATTGGTAGAAGAAGGAGAGAAAGACCTGCAGTTAGATGAAATAATAGAGTAATGGAGAGTATAGCTGGTAGGGAACTGATGCAATGGACCTGCAAAGATGAAGATATATGATGTTGGTTTTTGGTTTGTAGGAGTTTGGTTGAGGAAAGCTTCATATTGAAGAAATTCCAAATAAAAAAAGTAATTTTTGTCCCTCAGATTTGAGTAATTAATTGTTTCACATATTATGGTACCATCTAGATCATAGTTAATTAGTTATTTCCTTCATAAGAAAAATAATAGAGCATCGTTATATATACTCATTTCTTATAATATTTTACCTGTCCTGGCAGATAACTGAAAGTTACGTTGGATAACAGCGGAGATGCAACTTCTTTGTAAAAATTACTCAGTTGAAGAGCAGCATCTGAAGCTTCATAGATACTTCTTGCAAATCCAGCATTGCCGAGTGAAAGTTTTCTCAGAAACCTCATGTCAGCGCCAGCTCCAAAACCGAGTGAAAAGATTGAACACCTGTTATGATCGAAAAGTAAACTTAGTTTTTCACATTCAGGTGCGAGTACTATCTTTTTAAAATTATATAATACACCCATTACCTAGGGTTGTTATATTCCTTGACCATTGTTAATATTTTACTGTGTTTTGTAATCCCGACTGTTGGGTCACCATCAGTAAGAAATATTATTATGGGCTCCAGAGTGTCCTCAGTATCAGTTTCCTCTTTTCTTATTTTCTCCACTCCAGATTGAGCCACAATGATCGCATTCTTCAAGGCATCATAAATATTTGTACCTAAGGAGATTGACTTTTAAAATCTATGAATAATAGAGAATGAGTTATTGGTTGAACATGCCTACAACTAACTCAATAAGTCTCTTACATGAGTTAGGACTAATGTTAAACATATGAAGGAAGGGATGCTGCGCCCTGCTTACCGCCGCCTGATGACATCTTGCTTATGACCTGTTTGGCTTTTCCAATATATTCCTGGCTGGTTGGATAAGGTGGTGGGATTTCTGTCCGTTTTCCTATTGCTGTATCCGGAGGAAGAACCACACTTCCTGTTGCAGAATCCAAATTATGCACCTAAAAATTGTAATGATTATGTAACTTATTTTATATTTACTAATAATTTATATTCTCTATATCTGAGATATTTTGGGCTTTTACTTTTATGATTTATAAATTATTTCTATTTATATCAAACATGTCTTCAAATTATAATAGTGTATATATTACAATTTGTAATATGTTTGATTTTGCCTACATGAAAAACAGCCATGACTACCTACTTTCGAATAAAACATCTGAATTAATATATCCGATGTCCTTTATATTTATATTATTAATTTTAATATATATTCCCTTCTTAAAAGCTATAAACGATTAAAAATATTAATGGATAATGATATTTTGTGTATTACCGTTACTGAATAAGAGAAATCGATAATGTTGAAGTGATCTCTCGGTCCAAGATCGTCAAGAATAGTTCCCATTGCTGTCTTTAGTTGCTCAACTTTACGTCCCTCCATCGAGCCAGATAAGTCTAACACAAAAACTGCTAGCTTTCTTAATGGTGGTAAACCCTCAGGTGCAAAGAAGTGAACAAAATAACCATCATTTACCTATAAAAATATATATATATATATATATAAACAGATAAATAATTATAGTTTTAATTTTTAAATTACTATATACATTTTAATTATTGTTAATGATAAAACTGTTTTTATCTTACTAATATCTGCCCGCCTTGATCAGATGTTCTCTGTACATCATACTTAATTATTAATTGACCACTTGGATTCTTTGCCTGTTCTTCTTGACTAGGCTTATATCTAATGTGAGCTTTCTGTGGAGTGGGTCTTCTTATTTCAACAAGTCTATTCTCTGTTAAAAAAAAAAAATGAAGTAAAATATATTATACTTTTACTGTAAGGAATGCCCTAGTATAATCAGGTTCTTTAGTACAGAGCTTAAGGCGAAAAACCAATTTAATGTCATAGATCACAAATATGAAAAACAGAAATTTTGTAGACTTAAAACTATTTGATTTGAATCTCTTCATTCATTGTTCAATATATAGCTTTTTATTTATATTTTAAACCATTTATCTCATTTTACTTTCACTTACCTATATATTTTTTTTTCTGTTCTTCCCTACCTCGCCTTTTAGGCTATACAAGATTTTCCCGGACCGGAGTAAGGGTGGGGAATTTAAAATCCCCTCTGGTAACGGGACGCGAACTCGTACTTTTTTTAATCTCATATTCAGGTCATCTGATTGCCGGGCAACTCGCGGTGCTGTGCACATGCGTTGGCATTTGGCCACCCCCACTTACCTATATATCAAATATATAGTTAGGAAAAATATTGTGATCGTGAAAATTTTGGAATCTGAGTTTTCAATGGGAATATGTTTTGAGGTCCCCTGAGTCGAAATAACCAAGTCCTGGAAAATGGTCTTTCTGTATGAAAGTGAAATTGCATATTTAAGGTTTTTATATACTTGGCATGTTACAGCAACTTTTTCTCGAAAAGGGCTCTAACGATTTTGATGAAATTCATTATATCTGTGTAAAATTAAGCATTTTTAAAGAAAATGTAGGTTTTATTCTGATTGATGTTCTTTAACAGAGCTTAAATGGCTAATTTTCAATATTAGATTCCCCTAAAGTACCTTTATTTTTTATTATTTGAAACAATTGACTATTTCACATTCATTTATAATATAAAAGATAGCTAAATATAAAATATGAAAGAATTTGATAATTAACTATAGGAAAAATAAGAGATAGTAACGGAGAATAGTTGTAATTGAGGAACCAAAGGAATACGAGTGCGCCCAAGCTCGCCCGAAAGATAAGAACACGCTTCCGTATGTAACATGAGCTTAATATTATAAAGACTCCGACAATATTATGTAAATATAAATACATGGTTTTCATAAATACTATTGTTGGTGTTATTTACTATTTAATTATATAGATTACAGCAATATGAATATTAAAATTTGTATATATATGGGTACTTATACAAATAAAAATACCAGCATTGAGATATAAATCAATATAGCATTTATAATTTTTTTCTTTCACTTACCCTTTGTCTGAAAATAGTTATTTCTGCTAAGTTGAGGTATGTAAGTTGTGTGATGCATGCAACGCACCAGATTTTTTATTTTATTTTACTGTATTTAAAACAAATCTAAGTATCAGTGAGTATCCAGAGAAAAAATCAAAGATTAAGAAAAATTATTTATTTTGAAAAACAGCCTTTATTTTGTTTCAAATGACTATTTAATAAATTAAAAAAAATATTATTACATAAATCAGTAATATGTAAATGTTCTAAAAAATAAAATAAAATATTTGAAAATAAAAGTTTAGGGAACTTAAGGAGAACCACCATGCTTATTTATAAAGGAAAATTAATTAATTTGTATTTGACTTACTGCACCTAAAAAAATATGTGTACTAATATTAATCTCTATTTCATTAATTGTAGAATTAAAAAAAATTATAAAAATAAAATGGTTTTTAAAAATTGTCTAAATCTTTTTAGTTGATTTATCACTGGATTGGTATATTTTTGAAGAATAATGAAATTTGATGAATAAATCTTAGTTTTGATTAGTTTACTTTGTTTAGTAACAGATATTGGAATATATAAGAAAACAAATGGCAGTAGAGATGTTTGTAAATAAAAAAGTCTGCGATTTTAAACAGTTTAAATTTAAGTAAATATTTTTTTATTGAAATATCACCTAAGTTTTGAATGACAGTTCACTATATTTTAGGTAAAATTTGAACTTATGATCAATTATTACTGATATAAATTTTTAAAAATTACCTTCTTCAGGTTCATTAGTGACTTCATTTGATGATCTGATTTTCGGGACATGAAGTTCTATTATATCTGTTGGTTCAGCAATAAAAACATCTACTTGAAGGTCTCGTACAACCTATATAACAAAGTAATATTTATCAATTTATATTTTAATTTCTTAGTTTTTATTAGTTATAAAATTAAAATTAATTTTATTGTCTTAACTTTATTTCCTACATTTTGGCCTATAGGCTATTAGCTAGGAAGAATCCTATTATTACTAATAAATTGTTAACAGCTAATTTACCCAAGTCTTTCTATATTTCTTTACTACTTATTATATGTTACATTTTACAATGAATAATAATGAATATGAAATAGGTAATCAATTATATGGACTGATTTCTGAATATCTTTTTTTTTTTGTTAATAATATACACATCTATTGATCACTAAAAGACTTTTAACTGTTTTCATGTAACTTGCCTGGCCTGGGTTAAGGTTGATGATATGGTTGTACAAGCCTAATGTTCTGGTGAGCAGTTCTTCGTAAGTTAAAACAAATAATGCTTTTGAGCTTTTCTCAACATTTACAGAAATTAGGAATCTATTTGAATTTCTAGCACTGAAACAATTTTAGGAATTAAATTAACATATGTGTGTTGAGATTTTTTATATTAAATGTTTTATCTGTTTATAAATATGTGTGCATGTAAATTTAAAAGAGAATATGAGCACACCTTGCATGCACGTGAGCAGCAGCTATTCCAGAAGAGACTGCTTCTTCATATTCCTTCTTAGCTATTTCTTTTTCTCGAACATATGCTCGGTACTGCTTTCCTTCCACCTCCCTAGAATATAATATTTATGTTGTTTATGTTAATAAATAATTGATTTTTTTTTTAACATGTATAAAACGAACAACAGATGCTTATCTTTAAGAAAGTTCATGTACCATATACCATAGATGATGAGATATATGTACTAAGAGTTATTAAAAACACTTAATTTTTAATATATCAATGGATATAACCACTTGGAATTTATTTATGTCCATAATCTATTGGATGGTGTATTTTTTTTTTTTTTTTTTGTATACTCATCAAATTAATAATTATTTTCAAAATGTTTATTGAATAAACATCAAATAACTATCTAAGATGTCAAAAGTCAGGCTCATTAATGGTTCCTTTATCAGTTTATTTCAGCGTAAATTCATCATTACATAGTATTAAGAACTAGAAAAAATTATCAATAATTAAAATTAAAATTATTAGATTAGTTAACCAAGGAAGAACTAAAATGAGGAAGTAACCTATATGGGTTGAGTAGTTTTCAACCTAAAATATTCTTAAATTTGAAAGTCAACATTATCTATATATTTTTATTTTTTTTTTATTTTGGGTAATCATCTTTGGTACTCTCCCCAGTTAAGAATCAAATAATTTTCATTCTAAACTGAATAGATGATTATGAAATAAATGATAATTATTATATATTTTTTAAATTCTTTGTTTTGAAAATTTATTGAAAGGAATTATTTATGGCTGATTACACACCACTTATTGTCGACTGACATCATTATGGCTTCCACCTAGATTGACCTTGTTACTATATTCACCAAGTGTTTATAAATTCACTTCAATTTTAATCTATTTACAGTAAAATTAAAATTGGATAATTTCAAGCAAATACATTGATCGCTAACATACATAACAAAAGACGTGATGAAAGCAGTCTCTGGTAGGAGCATCATAAAGACAACCTCCTGGGATGCGTTGGCCGGGTTGGCTATCCTTGAGGTCACCCTGGTGTGAGCGTACCTGTACTTGATGCTAGACTCGACGTGGAGCATGTACACCTCAGGATGAGGAAGGTCACTGTGCTCACCATCTCTCTTCTGCTCAAAAGTAATTTGTAGAAGTTAATTAAACATACTTGTAGGTTTAATTCCAGATATTTAATAGTTTTGTTGCCTTGATTAGTATTTAGAAAAATGACATTAATTGAAGTTTGGTCTGAATTTATTTTTATCAGTTAGTAATACCTTACATTTGGCATCAATCATTGACCCCATAACATTTATTCTTTGAATCAAATATGTTTCTACTCAAGTAGAAAGGTAGCCAAGTTATACGAGATCTGTTAGCTGTTGGAGACCATCATTATGATCTGCCATTGGACTGTTATAAATAATTTATATAAGAAAAACTAAACTAATCTCTATTTATTACAAACTTCACTTAGTACTCTCCTTTACTTTGTTTGAAAACATTAGTGCTATCTTTGCTATTTTTCTTTAAATAACCTAATTTACAAATCACACAAAACTTGTTGCTATTGTCAAACATTTCCTACCGGATATGCCTACTTTTTCGAGAGATGAAAATATGAAATAAACAAAAATTTTGAAAATTATTAAGCTCCTTTTCTCTTTTATTTTATTTGCCAGATCGAACATCTTTCCTAAATTTAGTGATATTTATCAAATTTCAGGAAGGAGTTATTTAATATCATTTTTATTTATTCTTTCATTTGACAAGTGGTCCTTGTAACGGTTATTATTCAAATTGTGTACTTTTATATGATATAGTCGATAATTTTTATATTAATATTAAATTGGACTATTTACTTAAAACCAAAAATTCAAAAAACAAATAATTTATTAAACAAACTAAAAAAAATTAAAAATGTTCACAATAAAAGCTGCTTCATTAAAAATAAGTAAATTATCTTAAACAGATATCTGAGAAATATCTATTTAATTAATATTTGTTATACCTTATTAATAAGTTTTATACGATTTTTTTTTTCAAATTAAAGTATCAATTTCTCCATGATAATAAATTCATTTTCAATAATAGTACAAAAAATTTAACCCCTCCTCAAAATTTGAGGTTTTACGTTTCACGATACGTAGAATTCGAAAATCGAATAAAAATCTGTTTGTCTGTCCGTCCTCGCTATTTCTGCGAGACTACTGGACCGATTTTTTTTTCAAATTTGAAATCAAAGTCAGAGGTTGCCCGAAGATGATCCTGCTATCTCGAAATTGTCCGACTATCCTATCCGCCCTTTCAAATTGGCGGCCGAAAAACCTGTGTTGCTATATACTGTCGCGCCTAAATGATTTTATCGATTTTAATGAAACTTGGTTCGATCAAGTTTCGATAAAATCTTTTCCTCGATAATCTATAAATTTATCTATATAACATACTTCAACGAAAAGGATCTAGAAAAAAAAAGTTAAGAGGGGTGGTAAAATTAGATTTCCGACTCAATAAATAAATATTTATTTGTTGATGTTGTTTATGGTTACATAAAAGTTTAAGAATTTTAGCAAAAACAAAAAATCATTGAAATCGGACAATTTAGAGGAAAGATATGGTGTTCTAAATATATTCTACTACAAAGCTTATATATTTTGTTTTGGTTTTTGATTTTTAGAAAGTTTTACACTAACTGTAGCAAAGTTGTCTATTTTTTAAAGCAAATTATCAATGGTAAAAAAGTAAATTACGTAGGCCAATGTTAGGAATCCCTTTTCATTTATTTATTTTCTTTAATGTTACATCTTAATTTTCATTTTAAATTATTTGGAAATAATAAACCATTGTGCAATAATTTGCAGCGGTTTTTTTTTATTAATTATAAGTAATGTTGATAAGTGCGAATAATTCGCATAGTGTATATAATGGAAGGAAGATAATTTTTTTTTTCGGTCGATTGGAATTATTATTGTTTCAGATAATAAACCAAAACATATATAAAAATTACAAGAGGCTGTTCATATTGATATTTCTATATATTTGATATGTAGTTATGTTATATGTTTCTATATTTATACCTCTATTCTTTTCAAAGATTAAAAGATATAAATGCGATTTATCGAAATGTCGATATTTAAATCTCCACAGCGCTAAGCTCATCGATACCATCGTTGAGACCAGTTGAGAGACGTAACCAATGCCAGCGCTGAATTTAGGAATTTGACCGTACTTATTGTTAGATTTTTTTTTTTTCGCTACCTCGCCTTTTAGGCTATACGGGGTTTGCCCGGGCCCGGGGGTGAGGGCTGGGAATTGGAAATCTCCTCCGGCAACAGGACGCGAACTCGTAATTTTTTTTTTAATCTCTCTTAACTTCGGTTATCTGGTCGTCGGGCAACTCACACGCGTTAACCTATTGGGCCACCCCGCCCCCTTTATTGTCAGATATACCCAGTTTGTTATGCGGTATGGTATACATGTCACGCCTTACAGAGTAGAAAAAAAAAGTTTGCTTGTAAACCCTCCAATCTACTCTGATATATTAAAAGAATCTTGCTCCAAATTCTATGGATGTATTGTTTCCTCGCATTATTTTAAAAATATCACTTTTTTATGACATAATCCCATAATTGGATCTAATTTGCCAGATTCAGGGATGGTTTCTAATGTGATACAACTATTTAATATATCAATTCGGAAACTCTATAAAAAAGTATTTAGAAAAAAATGGAATTATCGCTTTTTTACTTAACCAACGAACGAAAAAAAAAACGAACAATTAACTTGTAATAACATTTACCGTATTATGTTTTAGGATTTGTGACTATTATAAATAAACAAAACTTACAGTCAACTATATTATAGTTGACTTATATGTAACTCAGTTTAAGAAAAAATTGTATGTTTACAAATATTGTAGGCATTTTTTACTGTGATTGATCAGTATGCTTTATAATGTAGCATAAAGTATTTGGGTAATATTGGCTACTGATTTTTACAAACATAAATAAAAAAGTGTTTATTCACTAGTTCGATACTTCGCTTTGCTAAAAATAGACGAATGGCTCCATAAATCTGAATATTTCATGCTTAATAAAAATAAGTAAATCTTTTTTTTTATGAAATCAAAGTATGTAATTTCAGTTTACAGGCACCATTTTTATTTTTTTTTGGGGTTTCTTTCGTTTAAACTCTTATTTTGAAGGCTTATTCACGAGATACAGGGAGTTCGTAAGAAGATTGAGGGGGCAGGGAAAGGTCCATTGGTTGCTCTTGTCTGAACTTCTCTTGTATTGTGGGAAAAATAACCTTCCGAATGGCCTGTACTTTGATGGAAGAACTTAAATAAAGGACTTTTTGTTTTTAAAGAACCCGAACGGTGAAGTGGGGGGAGGGAGGAGAGGAGCCGATAAAAGAAGTTATGTGGAAGAAGGCTAGGAAATAAAAGAGCGGTGGCAGTTCTCACGGTTAAGGGGGACGCAGGCTACGTGACAACCTTGCCAATCCTGACTCCAATGTAAATCATTTTCCTCATTCCCTTCCTCTGGTCCTTGAACTTAAGAGAAAGTCGAGCAAATCGAGTTTGAGGAATCTTCGAGAAAACAACATGTCGCCGCTTGCAATGACCTATCTTCATAAAATGTCTCCGAAAAGAGAACTCTTTGCGAAAAAACTAGTATTTTAGGACAAAGCAGTTGGAATCACTGCGATGCAAAACAATCGTTTTCATTCGATTTTTATTTATTACATGTGCTGAGGACCGGTAGGAATTCAACAGATACTGAACCTGTCAGATTATTTTACTGCTTAAAAATAAATTCTGCCCCCACCGTAAGAATTTAACTGTTCCTAAGCGAACCAGTTAGTTGTAGAAGATGGTTTGGTAAGAAAGTTTTGGAAGATGATATGGCTAGAATTTTAATGTCTAATACGTTTCCTTCTTCCTACTGTTTCGTAAGAACTAGATAAGTAGGACAATTCCAGAACTTGGTTTTGTAATAAAAATATTTTCAATTGGCCAGAAATCATAAGATAATTATTTTATTAAATATTAATATAGATTCCAATATTATTTGTTTACGAAAAATCTAATACTGGAAATTTATATTTCGAATTTTAAGATATATATTATAAGGTCGTATAAAAAAACGCTGTAGTACGATTTATATTTAAAAATATAAATCTTTATATGTTCTATATTTCTAATTAAAACCTGTCTACTGGGGATGACATTTTATAGGATGTGCTCTAAGTTAATTTTTTTTTATGAATACTAACATTGTGATGGAATCATTCTTGATCAGTTTCGCTTGAACACCTCTCCCGCTAGCTATTAGTGTCTAACGTCGTGACGGCCGAGAGTGTTAAAGCTCAAACTTTAAAATTCTCGGGTCTAGTGGCGCCGGTTCAAATCCAGGTTATTCGTCGCAGTCCCACGGAATGAATCTCGATCTTCTCACTCTGGACAGACTAATCCCTTGAAAATAACCTCTCCCTCCCTCCGTGTGCTAGAAATGCGAGGTAGGTGATAATCGAAGTAAAAAGCAAAGGACAAAATGATGTTACAAGGGCGCTATGTCTCGCGAAATTGTTTATTTGGGATGGAAAAAACATATGCATTTAGATATGAGGAACGTCTTGACCTTGATCTACCTTAACATATTACGAGACTTCAACCCACAGCCTTTTTTTATCTCAGACGTATTACTTAGGAGCTTGTTTTAGTTTGAAAATTCTGAAATATTGGTATTTTTGTTGTATCGAAAATCTGAGAAACCCCAATGCCAACTTGCTGACGGGTGTAAGGAGCCATGTTTATATATATTTTTTCATTCGTATTTTCGTCTGAGTAATGATTATATTAGTTTGTCTTTTATTTGAAGCATCTGAAGTTTTCTCGTGTTCGGGTCGCTTACAATTCTCCTATAAAATATTACACCTATGTAATTTATCTGCCTGTGGTATCGGTTGGTTATCAGTTTTTACAAAAGAGTGAATGTCATGTCTAAATGTAAATATAAATGTTGGCATTTGTCATAGTTTAATCGTTAAATCTTCGGAGTTGATACAATGTTTGAGTAATGTGATTTTAATGATCCGTGATAGTGCAATCTGAAAATATTATTGTTAAGATGTTGGAACTGACAATTTATTCACGCCTGTCAGTTTTTTTACTTACATTGCCCAATCGTGTTTTGAATGAGATGTTACGAGTTCAAAAAGCATTTTAAATAAATTGTATATGATTCAAACACATGAATTATTTACTCTTATATCTGCCCTCCGGAGGTAAACAACATCCTGTCCATTTTTGTATTTGTTCATGAGAGCCAATTTTCCGTAACTTTGAACTATTAAAATTTGTTTCTTCGTTACTAAATTATTTAATAAAAATATCGACGTGGTGTTTTTTACCTCCGGGGCATAGATATGATATAATTGTTCATTAAGAATAGTTTGAGTTGTGATAAATACTCACTTCTTCAGAAACACCGCGTCTTTCCCTCGTAATGACGAATTCATGTCCAAACGCTAGGCTGAACATCATCAGCAACGCTAACGCTGCTTTCCTAAAACAGACATAAATACGTTTATATTTTAAAATAGTATTTAGGATATGATCATACAACTATTTATACAAACATAAATTATATAAGGAAAATATATACATATTATTTCTTTGGATGTGGTCTATCGCTTACGGTTCAAGTGTACATTCTGGGACATATCAGTTCCGTATAATGCAGTCATTATTTGATTACGACAATAAGTAAATTGGAATTGGGATTTAAAAAAATAATAGTAATAACAGATGCAACAACATTGGATAAATATCGATTATGTTCAGTGACACTAGAATCAATCCATTATCACAGGTGGATGTGGAATGCTAGCTGGTATCGAGTATCTCCAGAGGCATAACAATGTGGCAAACGTTTTTCATCAGACCCTAGCGATGAAGGTCAACTTATTAGAAGATAAGGCTCCATATTATATTTACCATTCAAATAGGCTCTTCAAAAAGATCCCTTCGAACTCTATTGGAATGAACTACGAGCCAAACTGTGGGTAATAACAGAGCTTAAATATTCGAAGAGAAAATAAGCGAAACTGATTGATGTCGAGATCCCGATTGGAGACGGGGTGGCCGAGCGGGTTAACGCCTGTGTAAAACTCGCATTGCCTGGAAATCAGATAAAGCAAAAGTTTAATGGTAAAATAATTACGAGTTTGTGCACCGGTGCCGGAGAAGCTTTTAACTCTTGCATTAATCCCCGCCATCATCCCTTGGCCATGAAAAATCCCTTATAGCCTAATATGCGAGGAAGGAGATGGAGCAAAGAAGAATGTCGAAATCAGCAACAAAAATAATATAAGCTCCACTGCGGGAGAGAAACTAAGTAATACCAGGAGCTGGCTACAAAATTAAAGGGACTAAATGATTTGGAAAGTGTTACCGCCACAGCAATTATAATATCCACTAATGGACTGATACCAAAATCAACGGTGACAGGAACAGATAGTCTAGAATTATCTTTTGATGTGCTGAGAGAGATCCAGATATCAGTTCTCTTGGACACATCACGAATAGTTCGAAAATTTCTAAATATTTAAAAAAAAACAATAATAATGCGAAGGTGACTGGAGATGCCTCCGATCTCAGTTAGCCAACCCGCAAAAGAGGGAAATGAAATGAAAATAAAGTAATGCTTACATTCCAAATATACAAAAATTCAAAACTTTAAGCGTCTTTTAACAACTAAGAAATATTCTTTTTGTATAAATCTACTCAACAGAATTGAAAAAAAAAATTGTATAGATGTGGGGCGGCCCAGTAGTGTTATAGCAGATTCTCGAGTCCTATTATGACCGAAAATTGATGTTTATTGTTTTAGAGGGCCGTGGCGAAAACTAGCGGTTAATCATGTATGGTGGTTGTATCACCTCTTTGAAAATTAATGAAGAAACCGTCATAATCAAGGCACGTTATATATGTTTCCTTCATGGATTTCTATATCCTTGTAACTTTTCCTTTTTTTTCAGTTTTTGTATTATAGATCATAAAGCACTTATCAAATTTATTCAAGTTTCTGAAAATAATTTTGTGTGATTCTATGAAGTGAAGTTAATACATTTTTTGTGGTTGCCGACAAAATTTATATGGGCTAAAATTTCATGTAAAAAAATTAACCTTTCGATTGCTATGAAAATTCCTATTTTAGAGCTTTTTGAGGTACGCAAAGCGAATACGAACTTTGTTACTAAAAAATAAATAAATATATTTATTTCCACTTTGATCTATTATCATCAAAACGTTTCATTAAAATCGTTGAAACCACGTCCGCAATCTCTCCTCGTAAGTGATGAAGCGGATTATCCCGCAACAGAATTTTTTTCGTCTCATTCGCGATTAATATCTGCATATCTGATAGTTTTTGGTGCTGCATAGGTAGTGTAAACATGGGATAAAAAATCTCTTTAGCGTGTAGGATGGGACATTAAATACCGGAGACCTTTCGGAATATACAAATACAAGTATATAGGAAGATAGTAGTAAATATAAGAAAATGAGATAGAGGTAGGGAACAGGTACGGGGATCCGAGAGGTGGAATTAGTGGCTAATGGAACGGGATTCTCTGGAGGAGAAGGTTCCCACAGCTCTCCCGTTCCCACGACCCCGTCTGCACTCCGTGACTCATCGTCCACCTCTTGTCGGCTTTCTGTCCTCGGGTCCGGGGGGTATGAGCAGCATCCGAGGAGCACCTAGGTGTCAGGTTTGATAGCTAATTTTAGTGACGGTTCAATTAATTTGTTTATTGAATGATCTAGAATTTGAGGTAGGTTAAGGATGGGTTCATAAAAAAAAATGTTAATTAAATATGATTCACGACGTGTACCAAATCAAATACCAGTCTTGAGTAATAATAGACAACAGGCGTGAGTCTATCGAGATTTCCAATTTGTATTACAAATTACAGATTTTATTCAATTCAATTAAGAATCTAATCTCCATTGGCTTTTAGTAACAGTGATGCGGTTGAAAGATAAGCGCAGGGATCTCATGGAGTTCTACATTTCCCACCGCAGGTGGAGGGTTAAGCCTTGTTCGGTGTCCCCTTGGCTGGTTTTTTTTTTACTTGTTCATTAATTTTTTTTAAATAACGGTAATTGTTTTAGAAGAATGTTAAACCATATAAGACAAAATAGCATCGTATGAAACCATATATATATAAACCACTCACAAATACAAATATGAATCAATAAAAAAAAAATACATTTTGGGAGGGAACTTCAGTCCCTAAAGCTCTCTCTTCTCCAATAAAGACCCGAGCGGTTTATGGTGTTATTTTACTGTAATTATCTTAAAGTTTATTTTACTAATTACTTATAAATGTATAAAATTATTATTGTTTTGCTTTTATTTATTTTTTTTATTTTCCGTAGATATTGTAGATGAATTTTTTCCTCAATATTATTGACTAACTATTATTCTTAATATTGAATGAAGTTATATTACTTTATCAAACACAGTTATAAGTCTTTTTATTAAACAATTATAATATTTTTATAAGTTGTTAGCAATTCATTTAATATTTATTTACATCTATCGTTTTTATTTTTATTATTTTTTTTAAGCTATTTAATTTGATTTTTCCATTTCTGGTTTTCGACATCTAGTTCCTAGAAATAGGTTGGGTTTTTTTTCTGTTAACAAATATTAATACATTAACACTTTTTTTTATAATCAACTTTAAAATATTTATTTCTTTGTGTTTTAAGCTGTTAAAAATTTAAGACTTAAATTATTTTATTGAAATTTACAACTGTAAACATATATACTACCAGTAAATCTGCTATGGGAATATATAACATGAAAGTACTTGTGAAGAAGCTACCCAATGGCAACACTTCAAAGATAAATTAATTTAGGAGGTCTCTTGGCCATCTTTTCAAGCGCCTCGGAGGGTTGTCAGGAATTGTATTGGATGACAGGTTACGAACTAGAGTATTAGGGTGACCAAAGAGTTTGCAATTAAAAGAGGTATATCTAGTTCGGGTCAAGTCATCCACAAGAGGAATGTTGAGATCTTTATGGATAATTTTATTTGTTACATAATAAGGAGCATTTAGGATTTTACGGTGGATTTTGGATTGTAAGGATTTTTATACGGGAAGAACTCGATATTTTTTTTGTTGAGTCCTAAAGCTCAATACCGTATGGCCAAATGGGCCTGATGATGGAAGACTTAAATTAAATTTTATTTCTGTTCCCTTCCTTTCATGGATTAAAAACATCGATGTTCGATATTTACATTCCTACACTTTGCAAGTCTTGAACATATCGAGAATCGAAGTATCGAATTATTATTTCGATATTATTCAAAAATATCGATATATGTATTTTTCAATTACATCCCTATTCTGGATCGTTTGCTAATATATTTGGAAACATTACTATTAAAATTAATTTATTGGTTATTGAAATCAAGTGTAGACCCCGCAGCGATGTATCACTCGTTTTGTTAGAGTGTACATATTTCCGAATCCTGATGAAAAAAAAAAATCCGTAGTCTTTAATAAATCGTCTGTAAATAATAATTAACTTTTACAAACGACACTGTTTATCAAAGCCAATTATTATCCTAGAGAGTGATGTCATACCATCACGCTTCAACCTCTCGAATAGGTTGAATAATCGTGTTTATACTAAGCAGGTACTGAGCAATCCTTAGAAACACATGACTGGGAAGATGTGGGAACATAGCGTTTTTATCCTCACTTAGAAGAAGTGGTTTTTGTTTTATTTTTAACGTTTATTTAACTTCTACAGGAAGTGACATAATATTTTTAATATTATCTATATTAGTGATAGATTTTAACCTACAGATATTGAACACCTGTCAAGTTGAAGTAGTCTCAAAAATAGATAATTTATTATACACGTTTAAATATTTATTATCTAAGTTCACTGTTTATCGTTCACTAAAACAAATATTATATTATCTTCAACTGAGAAGCTTGAAGTTGAAAATAACATTCGTTTAAAACTTTTTTATTAATTATTTTTAAATTAATTAAAGTACTTTTTAAATAGCCGGTCGGGTCCGACTGCTATCTGCCAATGTTTATAACCTTAACACTGATAATTCTGATAAGGCACTGATAATATCTTCGTATTCATATTTATTGTATTATATTCATATCATTGAAATTGTAAACAAAAACAAATGTAATAATAAAAAATTACTTTTATTTTACAAGATATATATTAAATAGACCAAAACATTATACATATATAATGTGAAAACATTACAACATATATATAAAAATAAATGAAATAATAAAAATAAGCAAAAATCCTCTAACCACGTTCCTTTCCTTATAGAAACGGTTTTGTTACAAGTTCGAAAGCATCTCCATTTCGTCTTCCCGTCGAACTTCATTTCATGACCTTCATTACAATAATTCACCTTTGCAATTGTCCCGGTTTCTTGAAAATATTTGATAGCCTATTCTTCTGAAGACGGAAATTCGAACAATGTAACAACATCCATAATTTTACGAAAATAAC